ACACACAAGGCCTTCTCATACCAAGGCCTACCTCACAATCAGGCCTACTAACAATGAGGCCTATTCTCCCACTGTGGCGATCTCTCACACAGAGAGGCTTCTCTCACACTGAGATCTCTCTTAGACTGTGGCATTACTAAGCAATAGGCATGCCTGCTTATATTGAACCACAGCTTCTCCTAGTCACTGCATCTATTTAACCTCTTCAGTGCTTGACTCACATTTTTGTAACCAAAAATGCCTAGTTATTTTTTACATATTTCTGACAAATATGTCTTACAACTATCTTTTTGCGCATGGTAGGCCCACAGGAGATATTGGGTCCACAAGGAGATTCTTGCTTTCTGGTCTGACGCATATCTAGTCAGGGGAGGAGACCTCACAAAAATATAAACAGTAGGAATGACACCACAGAGTAGCCTTGCATCTGACCCATTGCTCAGAAATGGGTCTATGGTCACAATCTACAACTAGGGAAAAGTATTATGTAGTGTGTGGGTGCATTTTTGGCCCTTTTCTAGTATGAAAAAGTGTCCCATGAACATAAATAATAAGAATACTTTACTGCAGGTCACGAAAGAGTGTATTATTAAAAGAACACACATATACACATAGAAGTGTACCATACGCTTACTCCATTCTCCTACCTCTCATAAGAAGAATGAGTGTTCATTCGTAGGTGGGAGTGAAAGAAAGGCACATTCAGCAGACTGGTCTCATCTTCCTGAGTAATATATCATCTTCTTCCTGATGTATTTGTTTGTTCTTCTCCACTTGAAAGCAGTTCAAGCAAGACGTGAACTTACAGACACTTGGAAGAAAGTGATACCGATCAGGTGTTGGTCCAACAAGCCTGGACTTGGCTACCATCTGCTGGCCAACGGATGCTATGAACCATTTTCTTTTGGAAGTGATAAAGAGATTCAACCAATAATATTAGTTTATCTAGTACGGTAGAGCTAAAGTCAATTTTCTTGTTATAAAACAATTGTTCTGCTTTCAAGGTGACTCTAACTTAGGTCAACACTGCCATAAGATTCTCTTGGCACAAATTCTCTTGCTATTGGCTTCCATGGAGGCTGAGAAAGTGTGTCCTGGCCAAGATCACCTTGTTAGTTTGCATGGGTGAGCTGAGCAAGATTTGAATCCTGGTGTTTAGGGTCTCAGGCCCCTTCTACGCTGCCATATAAATTCCAGATTATCTGCTTTGAACTGGATTATATGACAGTGTAGACTCATATAATCCAGTTCAAAGCAGGTAATGTTGTCGGGACGCAATAATGACCAGGCGGGAGACAGGGTGTAGAAGTGAATGATGACTTCTTTATTGTTCTCTAAGCAAAGCTTATATAGGCTCTCGTAGGGAGTGAGGGGGAAGCAATGAAGAGCTGCATCTGCTTGCCGATTGCCTTCAGTGAGCAACCAGGCAGTCAAGGGGGGTGAAGAAGTGATCTCAAAGTTTATTGACCGGCCAAGCTGTTTATATAACCTACTTGTGCTCTTTGCAAAGCTTGCCTGGTAACAGTGGGTTGGATAATGTAATTGTAGAGTGATTGGCTAGAGGTGAGCTCATCATAAGGTGAGGTAGCTGGTAGCCTACTACCAGTCCCAGGTCATGATGCCCTTGTATCCTTTTGCCAGGTGTGAAGCGTAAGCGTCAGGGGTCTGGAATTTACCATGCGCATCCGAACCAGCACGGTTTGCCGCTACTATTCCAAAGGCGCACTACTATTCCTGCCTAAGGGACATAATGATGTCCCTTCATAATGTGGATTATCTGCTTTGATAATCTGGATTAAATGGCAGTGTAGAAGGGGCTTCAGTTAAACACTGAGACCACTATGTTCCAAAAAGTGATACGGCTGTTTCTTTCAGAGAGTCTCTTGGGAAACTTGTAAGACTTTGTTACTAATTTACTCATGTGTGCACATGTGTATACATACAGAACGGATCAATTAAATGGCAACATAGCTTTCAGGATTAACATAGCTTTCAAGATTGTAGAACCAAGCAATTGTTTATAATAGCTAGTGATCCAGGAGCTTTGTCAGCCTTTTGATCTATGTTCAATGACTGCCCCCCTTATTAGAGTAGATCTATTGAAGGGGGAAACCAGGTTTCCTGCTCCTAAAATGTAGTTAACTCAGTTTGCAAGCTACCACATTAATGCTGAGTACTAAGGAAAAGCTTTTGATTGTGCAGGCAATAGGGAGAGACAGTTTTCATTTCTGTTGTACATATATTTGTGCATACAGTCAACTACCGGTCTAGCTTTTCAGTAAAAAAATTTGGGCTAGTTTGTTAAGTTACACCAGTGGTTCTCAACCTTCCTAATGTCGCAACCCCTTAGTACAGTTCCTTATGTTGTGGTGACCCCCAACCATAAAATTATTTTCATTGCTATTTCATAATTGCAATTTTGCTACTGTAATGTAATTGAATCGTAATGTAAATATCCGATATGCAGGTTGTGTTTTCATTCACTGGACCAAATTTGGCACAAATGCCTAATATGCCTACATTTGAATATTGGTGAGGTTGAGGGAAAATTGATTTTGTCATCTGGAAGCTGTAGTTGCTGGGATTTATAGTTCACCTACAATGAAAGTGCATTCTGAACTCCACCAACGACGAAATTGAACCACACTTAGCCCACAGAACTCCCATGACCAACAGAAAATACTGGAAGGTTTTGGTGGGCATTGACTTTGAGTTTTGGAGTTGTAGTTCACCTACATCCAGAGAGCACTGTGGACTCAAACAATGATGGATCTGGACCAAACGTGTCACAAATACTCAATATGCCCAAATGTGAACACTGGTGGAGTTTGGAAAAAATAGGCCTTGACATTTAGAAGTTGCAGTTGCTGTGATTTATGGTTCATCTACAATCAAAGATCCACTTGAACCCCACCAGTGATAGAATTGGGACAAACTTCCCACACAGAACCCCCACGACCAACAGAAAATACTGCAGGGATTTGGGAGGAATTGACAGCGATTTAGGAGAGATGTAGTTCACCTATCTCCGGATAGCACTGTGTTCCTATGATCATCAGAAATATGTGTTTTCTGATGGTTTTTGGTGACACCGCTGACACCCCTTCACGATCCTCTCAGGGGTCCCGACCCCCAGGTTGAGAAATGCTGAGTTACACCATTTCTGGTTATTTCCTTCACACCACCTCTTTCAAGAATAAGGTGCTTGTTGTTGCAGTTCTCAGCACCCTGGGGCATTGCCACTTAGGAAGCAGGTTGAAATAACAGCAGGCCTAACATTCCTCCCCTTACGAACACTTATTCCACAAAGCTAGAGTCCTTGTGTCTGTTTGGAGTCTAACTTATGGTCTTGGTATCTTGCTGAGTGATGGAAGTACGGCAGGAATCTGCCTGGAAGCCTGTGTGGGAAGTTGGCGGAGTTCAGCCTTGATCCTTTTGCAATGCCTGCAGGAATGAGTAAGAATCATTCATTTTCATTTAACTTTAGACAAAACAAGGTGGGTGTAACTGAATTGGAAGAGAGACTGCTGTGTCATTCGTCACTACCCATTGGGCAGGATGGCTATAATACAAGAGGATAAGCCACCATTTACTCAGAGAAAGTAATGATGTCTGACAAGATGCCACCCCTCCGCCTCTGTGGAGGGGAAGATCTTATCCCAGTAGACAGATGAAACAAAAGTGAGCAAACTATTATTTACAAAGAAACTTCCCCAAAAAACTAGCCTTTACATATACTTTACACATTCCCATGCACTTCTAAGAGTTTATATCCCAGTTAGAACATTTAGATATTAGACTTAGAACAGTCATTTTAGAACTATAATTCCCTGAATTCTTCAGTCAACAGACATACAGTCTTTATAATTCTGCTCTAACCTGATCTTAAACCATAGAAAAAGCCACACAAATGAGAATCATAAAGCTAAAGGTTTCCCCTTAACATTAAGTCGAGTCGCGTCTGACTCTGGGGGATGATGCTCATCTCCATTTCTAAGCCAAAGAGCTGGCATTGTCCATAGACACCTCCAAGGTCATGTGGTCAGCATGACTACATGGAGCGCCATTACCTTCCTGCAAAAGTGGTACCTATTGATCTACTCACATTTGCATGTTTTCAAACTGCTAGGTTGGCAGAAGCTGGGGCTAAGAGCAGGAGCTCACCCAGCTCCCCAGATTCAAACCGCTGATCTTTTGGTCGGCAAGTTCAGCAGATCAGTGGTTAACCCGCTGTGCCCCGGGGGCCCCAATTCTACAGCATGAAATTTCTTGAGTAGCTATCATGGAGTCTTTAGAAAAATGCGAAGCTGGCCATTTGCCTTAGAAGATTGTTATATTACAGAAAATCTATGTAGATTTACTCAAGGTCACCTGTACTTGCCCTCCTGGTGTTTTTGACTTTGCCACCAAGCCTTCCTTCCTGTTGACCCTGTCATATGGGGGTGATGGGAGATGAAATCAAAACATCTGGAGAGAAGCATACTGGCAGAGAATTTGGAAGCCTGCCTCAAGTTGCCATTTTTGGTAAGAAATAATTATCATGATCCCAATCTTCAAAAGCTATAAGGGACAATAAGGCCCCTTCTACACTGCCATATCAAATCCACATTATCTGATTTGAACTGGATTATATGGCAGTGTAGAGTCATATAATCTAGTTCAAATCAGATAATCTGGATTATCTGCTTTGATAATCAGGATTATATAGTAGGGTAGAAGGGACACTAAGAAAGTACCAATAACAAAACTCAGAAAAATTAATCTGCTTGGGACCAGAAATGTTTTGGATTTCAGTGTACTTGGAGATGGGACACAAAACAGAACATTCATTTATGTTTCCTACACACATCGTCTGAAGGTCATTCTATCCACAATATTTTAAATAATTTTGTATCACTATCACAGCCACCCAGGTGGACAATTGTATATTTTAGGGTATTTCCGAATTCCAAAGGGATGCTCAATCTGTATTTTCATATAATAACTGCCAGACAAATTAGAACATTTTATTAAAATTTATTAAATTATTCTTTTTAAAAAAATGTATGTATATGCAGTTAATACAGCATTAGTATGTCTACTCCTCTGCAGCACGACCTTGTACTTCAAGAGCCACCCTTTCCTCGAGGCTGGTTGTCCATTTCCCACAAGTACCAGGCACTTCTTTCTAGGGCAGATCACAGTTATGAAGAGGCCTTCCAGCTCCTGTCTGTCCTGCAACTGTGCCCTTTGGAGCTTCAGCAACATAGCGAGGTTCACTGGGAGCTAGAGACAGGAATCAAAGGGGCAGCAGCTGCAGATGGGTCAAAACACCGTGTTGGTGAAGATGACCTTCAGTGCACCATCTCTATGTCAATAGTCTTATGAGATCTTCATGAGGTTGCAGGGTTATCTCCTCCCTCCAAAGGGGATAGAGGTGCAGAGATGGGTATAAAGTGCTGGTGGGTAAAAAGAGAGAGAGAGAGCGAGAGAGAGAGCAAGAAGCATTACATAAAAAGAGGCACCTGCAGTCTAGTCAATGAAAGCATGCCTCCCTGTACATCTGACCCAAAATAGATTGAAACTGGATTCTCAATTTTTACATGCTCAGTGTGAAATACAATCAGAGGTTTTATGTTTCTAATTTCAGCCCTGAGGCTTAAGGTAAAGGTAAAGGTTTCCCCTGACACTAAGTCTAGCTGTGTCTGACTCTGGGGGATGGTGCTCATCTCCATTTCTAAGCCACAGAGCCGGTGTTGTCTGTAGACACCTCCAAGTTCATATGGACAGCATGACTGCATGGAGCATCATTACCTTCCCGCAGAAGCGGCATCTATTGATCTACTCACAATTTGCATGTTTTTGAACTGCTAGGTTGGCAGAAGCTGGGGCTAACAGCGGGAGCTCACCCCGCTCTCTGGATTTGGGCCTTAGCAAACCTTTGGAGGAAGCAGTCCTCACGGCTCTTCTCTCTCAACAAAACCGCTTTTGCAGGAACATAAGAATTTAAATGAATTCAGGGGGACGGAGCACACTTAAATTTCCAGGACTCTATTTTGAGTCCTGGAAAGCTGTATTTATGTCCCATAACTTTCAATGAACAGACGCCACAATTTCCAGGTAGCAGCTTAATATGCTGCCCTGTGAATTCATAAGCCAATTCATAAGTGCTGGATGACAAGGATGATGTTCACCAGATTGCCTTACAAATAGAAAGCCAAAGAGTAATCAGATTCCCCCCACCCCCTTGGCAAAATATTTGGCAGATGGACATACAGCTAGGTATTTAATATGGGAAATCATCATGTGGTCAAAACTAAGCCTTTGTAATACATAATACGCAAACAGACATCAACTGAAACACAGCACAGCTCTTTACGTCCACAGGGCTCAGATTATATATCTTACCATGGCATCATGAGCCTCAAGTGTTTGTGCCACAGGCTCCTTACACCGTGGCACGGAAGGCCGTGAGGCAGACATGACGCGGGCAGTGTAGAAGGCACACTCGTCATTTAGGCAGGCCTCAAGGAAGCGCTGAGGTGCATTAAGGAGATCAGCCCGCCGCTGTTTGAAGTGGTCTAAAAGGGAAAGAGTCATATCAAAGAGATGACAGCAGGAATAGAGTACCCCAGACAGGCAGGAAGGTTGACTCCAATATTCCCTGAGGAAGATCTCCTCTGGAATCCTCTCCCTATTGGGGCTCTCTCTCCCATTGCTATTTTTAAGAATCCAGCAGGGTCAGTTGTATTTCCCCACACTTTTAATAGTGATTAATGCAACATAAAATGCAAATATATGACATTTCTGTGATCATTCTTACTTTGTAATTACGTTGTAATTAATACTGTGCAATCCCTCTTGAAAACTAATCATGGAATCATTTATTTATTTACCACACTTATCCCGCCCTTCTCAACCCTGAAGGGAGATCAGGGCAGCCTTACAAAGGCAACAATTCAATGCCATATATTAATACAGGGGTCCCCAAACTAAGGCCCAGGGGCCGGATACGGCCCAGGGGCCGGATACGGCCCTCCAAGGTCATTTACTCGGCCCTTACTCAGGGGCAACCTAAGTCTGAAACGACTTGAAAGCACACAACAAGAAGAACAATCCTATCTCATCAGCCAAAAGCAGGTCCACATTACCCATTGAAATACTAATAAGTTTATATTAGTTAACATTGTTCTTCATTTTAATTATTGTACTGTTTATAAGGGGTTTTTTGCACTACAAATAAGATATGTGCAGTGTGCACAGGAATTCATTCATGTTTTTTTTTTAAATTATAATCCATCCCTCCAACAGTTTGAGGGACGGTGACCTGGCCTTCTGTTTAAAAAGTTTGAGGATCCCTGTATTAACACATCGGCAAATAAACCGAAACATTAAAACAAAACCTATTAAAAACATAACATTAAAACATCAATTAAAACCACGTGATCCAAATCGTATTCCATTATATTAATTTGCAGTCTCATACTGCACTACTCCCGTTACTGGCCAAAAGCCTGATCCCAGAGTAATGTTTTCTTTTTTTCCATGAAGGTCAGAAGGGATGGGGCAGATCAAATTTCACTGGGGAGGGAGTTCCATAGGCGAGGGGCTACCATTGAGAAGGCCCTGTCTCTTGTTCCCAGCAGTCGCATTTATGAGAGGGGTGGGAATGAGAGCAGGGCCTCCCCTGACAATCTTAACCTCTGAGGAGGGTCATAGAGGGAGGTAAGTTCAGACAGGTAAGCTGGACTGGAAGCATTTAGGGCTTTATAAGCTAAAGCCAGCACTTTGAATTGTGCTCGGAATCAGACTGGCAGCCAGTGGAGCTGACATAACAGGGGAGTTGTGTGCTCCCTTTACGCCACTCTGGTGAGCAATCTGGCTGCTGCCCGTTGGACCATTTGATGCTTCTAAACTGTCTTCAAAGGCAACCGCATATTGAGCCTGTTACAGTAATCTATTCTCGATGTAATCTTCCACCATACAGAAAAATGCAACTCCTGAAAGATACCCATCTTTCAAACTCTGTTTAAAAACTTTCAAAGGAGGACAGTCCACCACCTTCTAAGGCACTTTATTCAACAGCCAAACAGTGCTTATAAAATACTCTTGCTCATGCTTCCCATTGAAATACTGGAAAGTTTATGCTGGTTAAAATTGTTCTTCATTTTAAATATTGTATTGTTCTTTCATATATGTTTTGCACTCCAAATAAGATATGTGCAATGTGCATGTTTGTTTGTTTTCAAACTACAGTCCAACCTACCCCAACAGTCTGAAGCACCCTGCTTAAAAGATTTGAGGAGCCCTGTATTACAGGATAAATCAATCACTTTCTCAAGTCTTCCAGCCAAGAGGTACTTAATAACAGATCAGTCTATGAATCCAGGGGTCTTCTTAACCACCTCCCCTAAACCCATCCAAATCTAATACACTGTTAAAGAAAAGGAAGTAGTATCACACTGAAGGACCTTAGGTGCAAATCACTTTCTGTACCAATACTGAGCTCGCTTCAGGTTAGAAAGCAAGCCAAGTTTTTTTAAAAATAAGTGGCCCGATGCAAGCCATTGGTTTTTGAAGCCATGTCTGGCGAAATGGCATTTTATTCAATGATTCATCAGTCACAAAAGTAACAGAAGAGAAAATTCTGGTTGTGTCCAACACAGTATGTGGATAGGACACTTACCATCACCACACATCCCAAACTGCTGGTGCATTAGGAGGAATCAAGTTAAACTGTCCTGTCTTACCTGAACGACTTGTACTGGATGAGGGACGCTGGGCCAAAGGCATGCAGGAGGTTGGGCAGCTGAGCTGTTGGCTGGAAGTGGTGGCGAGTGTTGTCTCAGGAGCTACCACAACCTCAGGCAGTGGCGTAGGCTTGCAGATATTTGTTGTAGGGTCCTGGGAAGGTGTGCTGAAGGAGGTAGACTGTTCAGTCTCCAAAGCAGGTGAGCAATGAGCAGACAACAGATTGTGTAGTTCTTTCAGTGATGGGGCAACCACCTGATCAACATCACCACTATTCATCTCCCGGCATAAGAGTTGGGCAAGGAGCTCAACACACTAGGAAAATAAGAGAGCAGGGCATTGTAAATAAGGCTGCTAGCCAGAACCCAACTCTACATAAAGTGTAATCGTGCCATGTCTCTCTTTGTTGTTGAGCTTTCAAGTTATTTCCAACTTTGGACAGTCCTAAAGGAAACCTATCACAGAAGAGTTTGCCTTCACCTTCCTTTGAGAAAGTAGGACTTGCCTGAGGTCACCCGGTGAGTTTCCATGTCTGAGTAGGGTCTCTACGGCTATAGTCGAATGCTCAAACCACTACACCACATCCCTCTCCCTCCCAATGCACTTTCACACACACTCTAGCCACTTCATCTAATTTCTCTGCACAATATAAAGACCTATATCATTCATCCCACAGTTAACAACTCCCTTGCATTCTAAACATATCAAATCATCCAAGGCTATACATTTCTCTACCAATATTGAGGCTTTGGAAGATTTTCAAATGGTTTGGAAGCATGTATATACAATCATATGCACATATAAACAAAGAAAACTGATGCCATTTCTTTGTCACCATGTAGACTAACACAGTGAAAACACAGTTTTCCTTTGAGATGCCAGGTGTCTTTCCTAACCACAGAAGCTTAATTTATTATTATTTACATTATTAAATATATACAATTTCTCCTGAGATGGGATCTAAGGCAGCGTAAAGTAATGTCAAAATAAAACTGTTGAAATCTTGTTTTCCAAATTTAATAAAGGAAAATAACATTATTTGTTTAAGGTTAAACCCAGCTACAAACACATTTAAAACATGATCACTAATAAAGGATTTTAAAATATCAGTACAGCTCCTCACACCACTACTGCCACATAATTAAGATGTCAAGGGCCTTCTGAATAAAAAGGTGTTCACCAGCTAGCAGAGAGAGAGGAGAATGGGGCAATGGAGCTTCCAGTGGAAGTGAACAGGTACAAGATCCTCATTAAAAGTGCCTACAAGATTGATGGGATGAAAAAGTCCTCCTCTGATTATAATCTTAAAGCATGTGCTTACTTGTGTAGGAAGAGACCGTTTTTCCACCCTCTCTAAGAAAAGTGTTATTAACCCTGTTCACATGTGACATCTCTATTCAGCTAAATTGCATTATATTAATAATGCGTCATCTGACAGACACTAGAGAAGTGAAAAGGGAAAGGTCCTGAGAAGGTATGTGGATTCACTGTCCTAATTTCTCTCATTATTTTTCTAACATCTATTAAATAATTGGGCAGTACATACAGTACCAAGATCTTTTATTTATTTTGTCGATTTGATGCAGAACATACATATCTACCATGCAAGCCATTATAAAAAAATATCAATAATGCTGGGTGCTGCTCAAACAGATATCGAGGGTATGGAATTCAGTGGAGGGTCTATCAAATAGGAGGTAGTTAGATAGGCTTGAGTTGCTTTAGCGGAAAAATTCCAACTATAGGGGAAATAAGAAAAGAACAGCTTCATGGAACTCTGATCCCCATTCAGTAACTACAAGGCCCACTTTTGTCTCGTCTAAGGTTGTAGAACAACAGACCGTGTGTTGGGGAAAAAGTATCCAAAAATATAACAGAGCATCCAAAAAATAAACAGGATACTTATAGTTGAGCAATCAACTCACAGCAAGTAGAACGTGAAGTGCCTCGTGATGCAGCTGTAAAGAATTTAGAGCTTAGGAGGCAAACATGCAGAATCCAATCTTAAAAATCACAAAAGGTTTATTTACAATAAAAATAAGAATTGCATTTCTTAATAATTAAAGAACTAGGTCAGAGCTACTCTAACACCCATCTCTTCTAAGGTTTAATTGAGAGGGAAAAAACTCAATCACGACATCTCTCCTGACGCACATGGCACTTCATGTTCTGCTTGTTGTGAGTCGATTGCTCAACTATAAGTATCTTGTTTATTTTTTGAATGCTCTGCTATATTTTTAGTAATTTTTCCCTAACAAATAGGGTTATGGGCCCAGCACACTTCCACTGTGCCACTCAGCTATTTTCAGCCTTCCTATTTTTCTTTCAAGCTCTTTCTTTCAGCACACACAGACTGGGTACATAGACTGAGCCCATAAACCCTTTTTGCATTGTACGGTTGATAACACTTACTTGGAATTAACCCTAACACTGTGAACTGTGATTTTACTTGCTTATCTTAATTATTGTTTATGGCTTTCACTGTTATTTCACAAAGTGGAATCCATGACATGAAAGTGTGGAGAAGAGCAAACCACAGACCACCTACAGCAATGCAACCTGAGCCCTGCCACTTGCACAATGGAGGACCTTCTTGCAGCAACACCAGAGGCACTCCAAGTGGCCGGCTACTGGTCAAAGGACATTTAATAGAATGCCAAGACCGCAAACTTTGTGTTTTTGTTTGTTTGTTTGTTTTTAATGCAATACAACTGTTTTGGTTCGCTCCTGACATGATAGATAGATAGATAGATAGATAGATAGATAGATAGATAGATAGATAGATAAATACATACTGTTATTGTGTTGTAAACCTCCCTAAGTTCCCTCGGGGAGATGGGGCAGGATACAAATAAAGTTGCTATTATTATTATTATTATTATTATTATTATTATTATTATTTCTATGTACATAATGACTGGCTAGTGAACTATATAGTAAACAGGGACAGAGAGGATAGGGGTTATTCAAAAAATTAAACACGTGATAACAAGTTAAATACGCATGAAGTATACAGATTTCTGTAATCATTCCTTGCCATATTACAACTTCATATTATTTATTTTTGTTTGCTTCATTTATACTATAGCCTGCCTTTCTTTCAGTGAACTCATGGTGGCATACGTGACTATTCTCCTCCCATCAACTCTGTGAGGTAGGTCAGGTGGACAAAGAATGAACAGCTGAAGGTGACCCAGTGAGATCCATGACTCAGTGAAGATTTGAATAGACATCTCCCAGCTCCAGTCAAAACACTCCAGCCACTAATATATAGTACTGTCTCCCTCAAAAGGGGAGGTGAGTTGAAGGACAGCAAACAACACTTGGGAACCAAGACACATTTCAACACCCCTCCCTTTTTCTACCTGGAGCTTCCCCATTTCTGGTGTGATCACGGAAGCAGCAGGCACCTTCTTAGCTGACGCTTCCACATCATCATCGAAGAGGCGCATAGCAATCTCCCCCTATTTAAGAGAAAAATGTCACATTATTTCCATGGTTATGATTCCCACCAGATTGCCACTAAGAGCCATAGAGAGACAAGTAAAGTGGTGGGGTGGGGGAGACCAAACCTCCCTGATCTTTCTTACAAGAGCTAGCTGAAGGTAATAGATCTCCAAAGATGCATACAGTTGGCCCTCCACATTCAACCATCCATGGCTTTAAAATATTCTAAAAAATAAAGTGCCAAAGGCACTTGTTATTACATTTTACTACATCATTGTATATAATGATATATAAAGCCACCTTGGGTCCTCTTTGGGGTAGAGAAAGACAGGATACAAATAAACAAACAAACAAATAAATCAAGGGACCTTAGCTCCCATGGATTTGGTATCTACACAGGGTACTGGAATCAAACCCAAGCAGATACTAAGAGCTCCACTGGCTGCCGATATGCTACCGGGCTCAATTCAAAGTGCTGGCGTTGGCCTTTAAAGCCCTAAACGGTTCTGGCCCAACTTATCTATCCGAACGTATCTCAGCCTATCAGCCCACCAGGACCCTAAGATCTTCCGGAGAGTCCCTTCTCTCTATCCCTCCAGCTTCAGAAGTGCGGCTGGCGGGAACGAGAGACAGGGCCTTCTCTGTGGTGGCCCCCCGGCTTTGGAACACCCTCCCTATAGAGGTACGAGCAGCCTCTTCGCTGATGGTGTTTAGGAAGAGACTCAAAACTTGGCTGTTAAAACAAGCATTCGGCTAATCTGTGGCAATTCGAATATTGATGACTAAGGACAGGAAATATGGACAACGAATTCTGGATTGCGATTTCAACTCGAGATATATGGGATTATTATTGGTGGCCCAATAATTTGTTATTGTATGTGTATATGTTTTTAAATTGTAGATTGTTTTAACTGCTGTAAACCGCAATGAGTCGCCGTTCCAGGCTGAGATATTAGCGGTATACAAGTGTATCAAATAAATAAATAAATAAATAAATAAATAAACTGTGCTACATTTCGATGTGTCAAGTGAAGTACATTATCAACCAGAAATGTATGAAATTATCAAGTGCTAATAAGAATTGAGACACGGATTGCCAGTGAACCTTCATGAGGATCAGCCTGCAATCAATCCTAGAGACACCTGTAACAAACTGACAGCAGTTCTAAGAACACATGATATTTGTAAGATCCTCCATATTTAAGGAGCCCACTGTGCTCATCTGTGGGGAGATATTACCTGCTGTCTTAACCTGTGAAGCATGTGACTGTTAGCATGGTTTCCAGCACTTCCCAGATGTATACTGGCCACAACTAGTTCGAATCCCTGCTGTTGACTCCAGCCCCCAGCAGCCCCAGCCAGCCTGGTCTGAGTGAGCAATGACAGAAGCATGGGTTTGCCAACATCTGGAGAGCCACAGATTCCACAATCCAACTTTAGGGGGGCAGCTATCCTCTGCAAGAGGGCCCTCTAAAGGCACAGTGGATTAAACCACTAAGCTGCTGAACTTGCTGACCGAAAGGTTGGTGGTTCGAATCTGGAGAAGGGGTGAGCTCCCACTATTAGCCCCAGCTTCTGCTGACCTAGTAGTTTGAAAACATGCAAAGGTGAGTAGATCAATAGGTACCGCTACTGCGGGTAGGTAACGGCGTTCCATGCAGTCATGCCAGCCACATGACCTTGGAGGTATCTATGGACAATGCCGGCTCTTCGACCGAGAAAAGGAGAAGAGCACCAACCCCAGAGTTGGACACGACTAGACTTAATGTCAGGGGAAACCTTTGCCTTTATCTTAACCTCTGCAAAAAGATCCAGCAAGACAGCGTTCTTGCAACTCATTACCACAATTTACAGTATTTCTCAGTCACCCTCCCTTTCTACTACTCTCATTTAATAAAGAATCAAGAAAACTCAGGTACATAGCAGAAACATCTATTGATCATAACTCTATGAAATCAAAACAGCACTATCCATTTTCACAAACTACAGTATTGTCATCCCGAATGACAGATATAAAAAGAAATCAGGATAAAAAGGGGTTCTTTGGTTATATCAGTAGAAAAAGGAAGAACAAGGAAACTAATGCCTCTGCATGGAGAGGATGGGGAAATGCTGACTGGGAACAGGGAAAAGGAAGAACTACTCAACACCTTCTTTGCCTCAGCCTTCTCCCAAAAGGAAATCAGTATCTAACCTGATCAATATGGGGCAGACAAGGCAGTAAGGGATATGCAACCCAAAATAGGTAAAGAACTAGCTCAGGAATACCTAAACAAATTTAAGTCTCCAGGGCCAGATGAACTACATCAGGAGTTCACAACCTTTTTTTTTTTAACCAGGAACCATTTGACCAGGGACATTCTCCAATATTAGTACCAAAAAGGGTTCCAAATCAATTTTGGTCAACTTTAGATTTTGTTTGAAACCCATATTTAATAATCTAGAGCTGATGTGGTCTATCCAATGCAATTTTCTGAATCAGCACCCCAAATAGCGCCAGGAACAGGCCTAAAAATGAAGACACCTAAAAAAAAATTGGTTGAGCTGTCCTGGAGACTAGGACATGGAGCAATGGGTTCAAATTACAGGAAAGGAGTTTCCACCTGAACATTAGGAAGAACTTCCTGACTGTAAGAGCTGTTCAGAAGTGGAGCTCTCTAACTCAGAATGTGGTGGAAGCTTCTTCCTTGGAGGCTTTTAAACAGAAGCTAGATGGCCATCTGTTAGGGGTACTTTCATTGTGCTTTTTCCTGCATGGCAGGGGGTTGGACCGGATGGTCCATGAGGTCTCTTCGAACTCTATGATTCTATTAAACATAAACTTTATTAGATATCGCCACCATTTCTAAGCTGCCTAGAGCAATCTGCCTAACCTTAATCAGATGCTGATTTATTTATTTATTTATTTATTTAATGTATTTGTATACTACCCTTCTCAGCCCTCAGGCGATTCAGGGCGGTTTACAATGGCAATTATTTGATGCCCCAAAACACCATAAAACATTTAAAAATATTAAAACATAATATAAAACCATAACAAAATCATTTGTGTCTCTTAATAAAAAAACATTGTCCTATCTTGTTGTTTAGTTGTTCCAATTCCTACGTCTTTTACCTTGCATTTTCAAACGCTTGCTTAAAAACCAAGTCTTGACTCTTTTCCCAAATGTTAAGAGGGAGGGGGTTGATCTAATGTCCCCAGGATTAGGAATTAGGTGCCTCATCTCCTTTTGACAAATTTCCTAGGAGTCAGTACAGTCAGTGGAAGCCAAGCACTTATCAAGCAGGCAACGGTCTAGCTACACACATGCCAATAACTAGTCCGTCCAGTGAGATAATCTCTCAAAAGGAGTGGAGCATCTGAGATGTTTTCAGCAAGTGACTCTCAAATAGTAGTCCTTTTCTATAACAAGCCTCGAACTGCACTCACCTGCTCCATTTCTGCTGGAGGTTGGATACCCACCTTCATGTTCTTATGGCAGAAGGGAAGAGGGCCACGGCGAAATGTCCAAGGAGTGCGATGCTGATCCAACACAAGAGAAAGTATTCAGAGCATGGCCTGATAAGAGTCACTTTGAACTGCAAGGCACAAAACTCAAAAAAGGGATGAAACTAACAAATTAGGAAAGAACTGGCTCTCTGGTATAGTAGGTCCCATGTCCAAAGCCTCAGGCACCCCCATGAAAAGGAATGTGGAAGATGCTGAGACAGACACCTGTTGACAGTTAAAGTAGACAATACTGGGCCAAATGGTGTGACTTAGTATAAGGTTGTTCCACGTTTCTACACTAATTTCCCCCACCCATTTAAGAATTCCTAGGGTGGCTTTCAAACATTAAGGGGAAAATAAGAGGAAAATATTTACATACTGCTACTGATACAGCAAATAAAAACCACAGGAGTCAATGCTCATATAAAACCCAGGGCAAGCACTAGAGAATGAATCGGTTTGGGCCAGTACCCTATATACTCGAAGATAAGCTGAGTTTTTCAGCCCTTTTTGTAAGCTACAAAAGCCTCCCTCGACTTATAATAGGGGTCAAGGCCAGGCAACAGAGCCTGGAAGTCATTGTTTACAATATATATTTCTCTCTACTATTTACCTTCCTTGACAAGTGTGTTTTCTTTTCCAGACAAAAAGGAGATATATTTCATATCCTCCTTGTTTGTATAGCTCTCTTTCAAACCCACCCAATTTCCTGGCTTTTTTATGTGTATCTAAATGTATTAACTTTATATGTGCATTTTGTTCCCTTGGAAGTTTTCCCCTCATATCTTTGCAGGTCTCTGCAAATCCTATATACATATAGATATCTAGAGATTTCCATGTACCTATATATCTATACATTATTTTCCCCTCGCATGTTTGTAAGTCTCTGCAAATCCTATATAGATGTTGATAAATATATAAATGTACCTATATATCTGTATATATATCTCTGTTTGTATATGTGTATACATATAAATAATTTTATATATGAATTTTCCCATCACATGTTTACAAGTCTTTGCAAATCCTATATAGATACAATTATCCATATATAGAGAAATGTCTAGAGAGATATGTATGAATATAGATATATAGGACTTGCAAATATTGCAGGAGGGAAATACAGAAATAGAGAGGAATTGCAAATGTTTTAGGGGGAAATGCATGTTAAATTAGTGTATATAATTATAGATCTATATCTAGCTTTGCATTGTTTATATAGGCACTGAATGTTTGCCTGTTACTCTGTTGGAAGCCGGCCTGAGTCCCCATGGGGAGAGAGGGCGGGATACAAATGAAAATCTATTATTATTATTATTATTATTATTATTATTATTATTATTATTATGTTATCATTTTTGTTGGTATCACTTCCAGAGCTATTTTATTGTTTTTCTTTGAAATATGGTAAATATTCAAAAACATTTAACCTATTGATGCATCAATTAATGTAAGTTTATTGATATCTATTTTTAGTTTGAAATTCAACAGTAGCTGCTGCATTTCCCATCCTCGGCTTATACTTGAGTCAATAAGTTTTCCCAGTTTTTTGGGGTAAAATTAGGTGTCTCGGCTTATAATTGGGTTGGCTTATACTCGAGTATACACGGTACTTAAAATTCAACTGAATGGGAACCAGCCAAGCATCTCTGGAAAATTTATTTATTTATTTACAACATTAATATCCCGCCCTTCTCACCCTGAAGGGGACCCAGAATGGCTCAAAAAAGATGGGCCACATCCTGGGGGCCATCCCCATTTGGCATGTGTCTAATCAGTGGAGGTTGGGGAAGTAGGAAAGGAATTGTGAATATGATCTAAAGTGCCAGAGAAGCTCATATAAGTTCCAACATACACACAATAGGAATTGGGGATTGTGTGGATGAACTGCAGCACAAGAGTAGAATTTAGAAAAGCTACCTTATTTGACCAGAGGTCCCAGAATCCTATATACATATTAAGAAGTCTATTTTATAGACTCTGGTCCTGAAAACCATGCATTTCCTGCTCCTGAGAACAGGGTGTATGGATCAAGTCACCCCCACTTTCCATTTGCACCCAGAAACTAACAGACAGATGTTGAAGATGATTTTTTAAGCTCTTGTTGAAATAGGTTTCCATTGGCAGGGGTGCCTGTCCTCTCTTTCAGCTCCACAGCAATTAGTGGTGCCTCATCAGTTTGAGAAGTTCCAACTCCCAGCCCGACAGAGCTACTTTCTGCCCTGTGTCTGATCTCAGAAAACACAGCAGTGTGGATATGATATGGCCTTTGCCAGGACTTTTCACCCACAGTTAGCTGGGAACTTATTACAGAATTCACAGCTACAAAATGATGGCAGAGATGTTCTCTGTTTCTCCAGGGCTTGGGAAACGTTCCTTTGTTGGACTGCAACTCTCAAAATTTCCCAAACACTGTGAAGGTGATTCTGGGAGCTGCAGTCCTCAAAAAGGGAGTTTTCCAAGCTTGCTGTGCCTCAAACACAAACCAAGGATTGTGGACAGGTAATGGGAACCCTCCTCGCTGGAGTATAGGATGAACAGCCAAGAGAGGTAAATCTGTTGCCAGGTGTATTGATTAGCTGGGCTCCAGAAGCCAATGACTGCTTTAGACCTGTGAAATGGGAAGGGGAGAAATTGAAAGAGAAAAGGTTAGAAGATCTTAAAAGGAAGGAGCCTACACATCTCAATGCTCCACACACTCTGCAAACTGTACCTTGAAGACCCTGAGGAGAACGACAAGACACACGGCCAAACTTTCCAATCGAAGATGCTCTAGTACGATACCCCAAGAAAAAGTCACTTTCGCCCTATAGGTTAAGAGGGAGAAGGGAGGATCAGTGCTTGATGGTTAACCAGATGCAGGATACTGGGAATAGTACTCCAAAAGGAAGGGGAAATACAAGCCATCATTCTACAATTCCCCATTAGAGGAGTCAAACTTGGCACTTATCTTTCAGACCATGGCTGTTGGCACACTCTCTAGGTGAATTTCCATCCATGGGTTTCCCCAAACATTTTCAAGCCTCTGATTTTTTCAACAAAGTTCACTAGTCTACTGAATGCCAAACAGCTACTTTATAGGGCCTTTTACCACATGTTAACAATTGTACTGCTATGATTCTACTTTAACTACCAAAGTTCCATCTTACAGACTATAGTACAAAGAGGTACTTGGAATTTATTTATTTATTTATTATTTAAAATTTTTATATCCCGATCTTCTCAACCTCCGTAGAGGGACTCAGACCAGCTGACAGCAAAAATTCAGTGCTAACCGTAAAAATCTAACACCTCATACATCAACAGTGAGTTAACAAATACATATAGGTTAAAATACATAAAAGCCATTTGCCAAAATAAAATCATGTCCAACTCAGTCCGTGTATTGTGGTCAATAACTTTGGTCAATTACCAGTCTCAGCCATCATTCTGCAAAAGCCTCGTTCCATAGCCAAGTTTTCATTAGCTTCCTAAAGGTCAGGAGGGAGGGGGCAGATCTAATTTCATTCAGGAGAGTTCCATAGCCGGGGGACCACCACAGAAAAGGCCCTGTCTCTCATTCCCACCAGACGAGACTGCGAAGGTAGCGGGACCGAGAGCAGGACCTCTCCAGAAGATCTTAGCACTTTTGATGGTTCATAGAGATAATAATAATAATAATAATAATAATAATAATAATAACACTTTATTTGTACCCCGCTACCATCTCCCCAGGGGACTCGGTGCGCAGGCCCGTAGCCAGGATTTTGATTCGGGGGGGGGGGGGCTAAAATTTTTTTCAGGGGGGGTTTTGGGGGGGCTGAGTTTCGGGGGGGGGCTGAGTCTGAGTGAAAGAGGGTCTACCCTAGCAAACCTTTTGTATCGTTACCCCAATACCCCCATGCATATGGGATATATTGAGTATGGTGATCAGATCATGATATGAATAAACGTAACAGTTTAAATAATGCACCAGTAAGGCCTTTTCGCGAACCACCATGAGAATTTCGGGGGGGGGGCTGAAGCCCCTCAAGCCCCCCCCCCCCCCCCCAGCTACATGACTGTCGGTGCGGCTTACATGAGGCCGAGGCCAAGGCCGAGGCCGAATACAACAATACAAGCAATAACAACAACAGTACAAGCAATTAAAATAAAAACATAGACAATAAAATATACAACATTATCAATAAGACAACACGCAATTAAAAACAGTGGGAAGGCCAAATGTAAAGTTAAAATTGGAAGTAATGCTGGGACATGGACGAAAAGGTGATAGTGGTGTTTGTGGATAACTCCTTTAGCGCCTCAATGAATGATTCAGGGATCCTTACATAGCCCCAAACTGCACCATCCACATGAAAGTAGGAAGTATCAGAACATTTAATAGAAATCAATGTTTACAAACCTATAGAACATTCTAAAAGAGGGGAACCTCCCTTTCGAAAAGCACTTCAGGGAGACATGCTCAGTGATTGCCATGGATTGGCAATTACATGGGCAAAAGGCATAGAAGGAAGTATAAATTGAGTATCCACTGTCCAAAATGCTTGGCACTAGATGTGTTTGGGATTTTGGAATACCTGTACCTGCATATACATATATAATGAGATATCGCCAAGATGGGAACTAAGTACAAACAAAAAAATAACTTATGCTCTTTATATGATTAAGGATTTGATTATTCATGGATTAGAAACGCTCTCTCTAGGAATATCTAGGTTATTTGTTTCATGGTCAACTTCCTCCAGTTATGCTGAAGGACCTTGAGATTGCAAGAAAGAACACCTCTCCAGAAATCTCTACACCTTCCAATGCAATACTGTGGCCAGCTTCCAACAGAAGTTGACACTAGACTCACGCTGGAAGATGGACAAATTCAAGAATTGTTCTCTCAGATAAAAAAGATATTTCTTTAGTTGTGTTTTTTGCAAATAACTACAAATAAAGGGTGTAGCCATGCTAAGCTAGATACCTCCCTCAAGACTGTTCCAATGGCACTAGAGATCAGAACTCTTCTTCCTCAGCAAAAAGCACATAAGAGCTGCACATGAGAAACCCCCCAAAATAGAAGGCAACAAGCAGGTGAGCCCTTGGCACCCTATTCCAATATGGATGGTGAACACAATAAACAGTCAGCATGGCAAAACAGAGGGGTTTACAGAAACCAAGGTATTCAGGCTGCGCTTTGCTCACCCTAGTGCGGCCACAAGTGACAGGAGTCTTCTGAGGACCTTTCACCAGCACCCGCTGGGCCATGCTCAGCTTGCCATTGGCCCCTATGGCAAAACGACTCAAACCTTCATTTGAGAGGATGCTGGCTTTGGCAGCTGGGTCTGGTACAAACTCTTCATCTGCAAGTGCAAGAGAGAGGTGTCAAGGAGGTAGGAGGGCTCAGCATTAACAGAATTGTTTGTATCCTGCACCAAGAAAGTCAAGGACAACACACCACTGCTCTATCCTCTTTTGTTTTTGTAATGGAAACATTGCAGAAGACCTTTGTATAAGAAGCTATGTCTGGTGTAACAATTGCCCTGCCTATTTCTCTGAAAGATCTTAAGGGTTAAAGCTTCTTTAAGGACGATATTGATGAATATATTCCAAAGTCAGAATTAATTGGGAAGGTCAGGCCTTGGATAATAGGAGAATGCCCCACTCCCTTTCCCAATTATTAAATCGGGTTGTCATCCACCTGGTTGGGTAACTTGGCCACCATCCACGCATTCAGCTTATTTTTGTTTTGATGAGCCCAATTAAAGGTACAAGAATAACTGCTATGTTTTCATTTTAGTAATTAAATGGTGCAAGAATTGTTTAAGAAATCTCAGTAAAACAAACTACTCAAGTATAAGTATCAGTCCTTTTTTTAGGTTGAAAAAGCCCCCCTCGATTTATACTTGAGTCAAAGTTATTTAATATTTTTACTCTGTTATTATTATTATTAGATGAATTATTTTAATCTATTTATTTTATTACATTTATTATTTTACTCTATTATTATTTTTAAATTACATTTATTATTTTGATCTCTTTATTATTAGATTACACCTATTAATTTATTTTTTATTATTATATTTATCATTTTACTCTATTATTTTTATTACATTTATTATTTTACTCTATTATTATTGGGAGGATACATAAGCACATTTACATTGAAGAATTTATTTATTTATTTACTTCTATACCGCTATTCTCAGCCTGGAGGCGACTCACAGCGGTTCACAACACACAGGAAGGTTAGTCTTATCTTATAGTCTTATCTTAAATTACAGTTTTATGTAAGTAATCAAAAACATTTAACCTCTAATGCATCAATTAATGTAATTTTATTGGTATCTATTTTTATTTTTGAAATTTACCAGTATCTGCTGCATTTCCCACCCTTGGCTTATACTTGAGTCAATGTGTTTTCCCAGTATTTGTTATAAAATCTCGGCTTATATTCAAGTCGGCTTATACTCAAGTATATAATACTCAAGGTAATTAATTAATTGAGGTGTTTATATAATAATCGAGACAATTCAGATTTACGTTGACTTCACCGCAGACTGAGACCGGTAAAGGTTCTGGAAACCTGGCCATGTGGCATCCCTCATTCTAGCTGGGAGTTCCCAATGGAGTAATTGGGGGACAAATGTGCTGGTTTTGTATGCGCTTTCTTTGATGCTATCCTTGCTTTTTAACAAAATCTTGTAGTCTTCACCACTTGTGTGCTTATTTTCTCTGAATTCTACAAAGAACCTTTACCTCTGGCAAAACGGTTTTGTTGAATGTTATTTTATTTTCATGTTTTCCTTTGATAACTGCAAACTTTTTATGAAAGAACAATTTGAGGGTAACAGATGGACTTCCCAGGGAAGGCAAGAAAAAGTATCAGACAACTGTTCTTGAAATGCTCACAAGCATCTAGCTTGGGATTTTATTGGAGGCATATACTATCACATGTATACATATAACTAATGGGGAGTGGGTAGAAATGCAAATATTTTTGTAAGCCATTTAAAGTTGAGCAGAACCTACACCCACAGACACCCCGTCCATCCACCTGGATAATAAAGAAAAAAATGCTCATTCACCTTTCCATGATGATCCTGTGGCGTCCTTTGTCCCAGCTGAGTTGCTGTTCAAGTGTAAAGATAACATAAAGTTGCAAGTTGATACAAATAAAGAGAGCCTCCCACTTCCAGGATTTATGCTGGGACATATAATTCAAAGGAAGAGCTATAAAGGTAAAGGTTTCCCCTTGACATTAAGTCTAGTCGAGTCTGACTCTGGGAGGTGATGCTCATCTCCATTTCCAAGCCGACAAACTGGTGTTGTCCGTAGACACCTCCAAGGTCATGTGGCTGGCATGACTTCATAGAGTGCCATTACCTATTGATCTACTCACATTTGCATGTTTTCAAACTGCTAGGTTGGCAGAAAATTGAGCTAACAGTGGAAGCTCATCTCGTTCCCCAGATTCAAACTGCTGACCTTTTGGTCAGCAAGTTCAGCAACTCAGCAGTTTAACCCACTGCACCACTAGGGGTATAATTCAAAGAAAATAAAAAGAGATAATCATGCCTTTACATGGTAGCTGTAGCTTTGCAAAGTCTTTAGCCTTCCTTGTCAAAGAGTGCTGATGTCTCACTAAACTATGATATTCCAATATTTCATAGCATTGAACCACAGAAGTAAAAGTGGTGTCAAGCTTCATTAATTCTACTGTGTAGCAGCAGCCCAGGAAAACTCTCCTAGACAGTGACTGCATGCACACTAGTTGCCCTCACACACACCCATCTGAGGCAGCATTTTCCATGCCAACAGTCAGCCAGCAATGCTGTGGGACATCTCCTAGGAAAAGGATGGAGCAGGTATGCTGCATATGTCAAAGAAACCCACTCTGAAGATTAGAAGCGAAGTGGGGATATTCCTTCCCTCTCCAGAGAGGGTGGGAAATTAAGACAAAAGCAACTATTGTTTAGTCATCATAAGTTTCCTAACAGTGGCCTTGTAAACTTCCTTGTCTTTCTCATTCACCTGTACAACCCACTAGACATTCAGTTCCTTTCTCACCTTTGAACTGGATCATCATCCTGGGTCACTCTGCTCATACATTCTGCAATGGGCTTGGCTGCTGGATGTGCAAACTTAATCACTCTCTGGTCCTCTGCTGGATGTCTGCGCTGAATCAGCTCCTTCTGATGTAAGTATCAGACAGTTAGGGACATGTGGTCAGCATACTTAATATAATTCTTCAGGGGACGGGGGGATGGACACAAGATCAAATAGGCAAGTTTTCACGGTACTTGGCTCTTTCTACCAAGCCTTGGCTACTAACTTCTAGCATTCACTGCCAGAGACAACCATTGGACTTGCCCTAATGACAGAGCTACCCCAATATCTCATATAGTAATACAGCCACGCGAATCAACTTTGCTAGAGCAGGGCAAGGAGAGCATCTACTCCAAGGAATGGTATGCTACACGAACAGTTCTTTCAAACAGGGACTATGATTCCTTCAAAATGGTAGTCCATCTGCTGCCCTTTTGGAGGAACACTTCTAGTGCAGTGGTTCCCAAACTTTTTTCTGACCAGGGACCACTTCACCAGAGACCACTCTCCAACATTAGTACCAAAAGGGTTACGAATCAGTATTTTTTTCAACTTTAGATTCGGTTTGGTTATTTGGGGTGCTGATTCAGAAAATTGCATTGGATAGACCATACCAGCTCTAGTTTCTGATGCAGAACACATGCCATCCAGTAGTCATCATATGCTTTCCATGATGATCCTGTGGCGTCCTTTGTCCCAGCTGTGTTGCTGTTCAAGTGTAAAGATAACATAAAGTTGCAAGTTGATACAAATAAAGAGAGCCTCCCACTTCCAGGATTTATGCTGGGACATATAATTCAAAGGAAGAGCTATAAAGGTAAAGAAACCCGTATTTAATAATCTAGAACTGATGTGGTCTATCCAATGCAATTTTCTGAATCAGCACCCCAAATAATCCCAGGAATAGGCCTAAAATTGAAGATACCAAGAACAAAATTGGTTGGGCTGTGTTATTATACATAGCAGTAACGGTGAGGCTGCAGACCATATTTTAGTTCTTGTAGACCACAGGTGGTCCGTGGACCACAGGTTGAGAACCAATGTTCTAGTGGAACTGCTCAACAGGTGTCATATAAACCTCACACTGCTCAACAGCAATTCTGGTTTGCTATTCTAGTGTGTTATGGCCCGCCACCCTAAAAAGTGGCTGCATCTGAAATCATGGCAGGAAAATAATATTCCAGCTGTTAGGTTCAAAATTCCAAGGGGTCAGCTAGCCAGGTACCAGGGATTCCTCGAAATCCATTCATACAAGCAAAGATGTTCAGAGACTGCTAGAACCTTTCAAACCATTCCCCAGTCCTTAATTGGCAAGTGCTACCACATGCACGATGAAGAGAAGAAGGAAGAGCATCCATTACCCACCCTGGGGCCCTGGTTCTTGAGACTACTTGACAAAGTCTTAAGCTGTTCGTTGTTCATGGAAAGGCTACAGGACTTTGAGAGATCTGCCTCTGTCATAGGAAAAGAAAACAATGAAATGTATAGTTTTAGGTTCACTTCCCTCTGCCAAGAAGCAGTAAGTTCAGGTAGAGAACTGATATATTGGAAGTTGAATAGACAAGGTTCAGACACTACCTGACCCCAAACTTGGTGGTACCTTTTGAAGTTGATCTGGAGATACAGGAAAAGCGAACAGGATTCCCTGAAGAAAACTTTGTATATAGAGAACCTCGGGTAGTCTACAGGGAGAGATAATATATTCACAAACAGGAAAAAAAACAGAACCCAAATCCAGGAAGGTCCAGATGTAACTATACATCTGAGTCTAATTTTCCCTGCCCCAGCCATGAAGACTGATTGCAATTTCCATAGCTTTCAGGAAATGACAGGTAGTATGCACACCCAAAACAAGAAATATACTGCTAATGTTGGATTTTCATGCAAAAACCCAATGTATCATGAGATCAGAATAAAATTATACTGGAGTGGATTTTAATCAACCAGTACACATGTTCATGTATCAAAGCTAAATGCCTACACAGAAGAATGTATGCAAATGTACACGAGACCTGAACTGTAACTAGAACGTTTTTTGAAAAGGACATTAAAAGACAACAAGTGGAAAGGTTAAATTTCAAATCTCCCCCATTAAAAGCTCTCTTTCTCTATCTACCTAACAGCTGAGCAACTATAGGTAAAAGTAAAGGTTTCCCCTTGACATTAAGTCTAGTCATGCCCAGCTTAGGGGGGTGATGTTCATTTCCATTTCTAAGCCGAAGAGCTTCCTTTGTCCATAGACACCTCCAAGGTCATGTGACCAGCATGCCTGCATGGAGCCTTCTGGCAGAAGTGGCACCTATTGATCTACTCAAATTTGCATGTTTTTGAACTGCTAGGTTGGCAGAAGCTGGGGCTAACAGTGGGAACTCACTCCGCTCCCTGGATTTGAACTGCCAACCTTTCGGTCAGCAAGTTCAGCAGCTCAGTGGTTTAACTGGCTGTGCCACCAGGGGGCCCTCACAACTATAGACATATTGTATTTGAACTACTGCTCAGCTTATAAGAAAAGAGTTCTGCCTAGAGTTCTGCTCTACCCAATGGAAAAAACACATACCACACCAATACACTGCCCTGCACGCGTGAATGAGGGAGAGGACTCACCCCAATGCTGGCTGAGCATGCTCTGTTTCCTCTTAAAGGGACTCTTCGTGCCAGGCTGGGCTTGTGGGTTGCATTCATCATCTGGCTATTCAGCCCTGTGTTGGACAAGATGCTGGCAAGAGCTGCAACATCAGGCACAAACTCCTCTGTGCCCGTTCCTACAAGAAGAATCAGGGGTTTACACAAACAGAGGGTGACAAAGGAAACACAGCTGAACAAAGACATTTTTCTCCAAATTTCCCGGCCACAATACCTTGAAGCTGCCACCTTCCTCCCCACAAAACACAGCCAGAAATATTTTCCTTGCCCTGTCCTTAAAGAGTAGAAGGCCAGAAGGAACTTGAATTTCTCAGCCAACCCACTGAACAAAAAAAGGAACGCCAGGTGACTAAAGATACTAGCCAGCATTGACATCTTTCAGAATATCGTGTACCCAAAGTAGAGAAAAGAGTGGAGGAAGGGGAAAGCAAGGCAAACTGTGCTAGAGCTACAGATGGATTGTAGAAGTCTGAATAGCTAAAGCAAGTGTGCATACATAATACAAGGGCAAAGTTTCAACAAGCTCTGCTAATTCCTGCGGACTGGCTGCTTAATTATTTCTAATTGATTAGCTTGTCCATCAGAGCTCATCAGCCAAGATAAGCAAGTACCAATTCTGTTAGGAAAATGTATTAACTCATGAGCTAAAGCCCAAGTATATGATATTATGTATCAGTATTATTATACTTTGATGGCCTCATGGGCCATCCAATCCAATCCCGTCAAGAAACAGGAAAATCGCATTCAAAGCACCCCCGAAAGATGGCCATCCAGCCTCTGCTGTCTGTTGTACTGGATCACACGTCGGACACTTCCTAAGTGTCTAGGGCCATGTGATGTATCAGCAAATAATGCATGCAGATCACAGTAGGCCTTTTTGTATCTGACAGATGGTAATTTTAAGATCATCCGGGGAGGCCCTGCTCTCAATCCCACCTGCATCACAAATACGTTTGGTGGGGATGAGAGACAGGGCCTTCTCAGTGGTGGCCCCTCGGCTATGGAATGCCCTTCCCAGGGACATTAGATCACCCCCCTCCCTCTTAACATTCCAGAAAAGAGTCAAGACCTGGCTGTTCGAGCAAGCATTTGAAAATGAAATGTAAAAGACATAGGAATTTGGAACGACTGGATAACGAGATGGATAATGTTTTTAATTAGGAGACGCAAATGGCTTATTTTTATTACTTTTGTTTGGTTTTATACTATATATTAATGTTTTTAATTCTTTATGATGTTCTTGGGCATTGAATTGTTGCTTCTGTAAACCGCCCTGAGTCGCCTGAGGGCAGAGAAGTCGCCTGAGGGCGGTATACAAATATAGAAAATAAATAAATAAATAAATTTTGTCGGCGCCAATTGTGTTTAAGTGCAGGCCAAGGTCTTTAAGCACTGCACCCAATGTGCCAATCACCACTGGGACCACCTTTACTGGCTTGTGCCAGATTATTATTATTATTGGGTTCCATATCCTAGTCAGCTTCTTCAATGGTCAGGAATTCTGGGAAATGAAGTCCAAAACACCTGTAGAGTCACACTCACCTTCACTCATCTTTGTCTTAAACACAAGTAACTAACCTTCTCTGCCACTGTTGCCTTCTCTTTCGGCAGCACAACTGTTGCCCTCATTCCTGTGACCAGATGTGCTGAGATGTACCTCCCCCAGAGGTTCTCTGGAAAGGCTTTTGGGCAACGAAGCGGCCACCGGTTCCAATCCACCAACAGCAGGAGCTGAATTGGTGTGAGGCACCTTTGGATCCTTGATCGCTTTGCTCTTCCCACTGGATACACATGTCTACAGAAGAGGACAGTATAAACACGGCATTATTGGAATTAGAAGGATAGTCCTTTGCCAACTTTAGGCAAAGTCCTTTCCCCCTTGTAATGTGGATGCTTTGATGGAATGAGGTCAGACATTTTATTCTAATGTAGCAGTGGTTTGATTTGAATTCTTGTTGAAACAGAACTCCCACCATCATTCTATGGCTAGTGTATAATGGAACAAGGGAACTATAACCCAATGATATCCAGAGCATGCCTACACAACCTGTGGCCAGGCTCTAGGTGTTTGGGGGTCGCCCCGCACTGTGGAAGACCCACCCAAAAGAAATTAAAACAGCACCCTCCCTTTCTTCTTTCAAGAACCAATTAAAAATTTCCTGTTTAGACAGGCTTTTAGTGAAGGAAACGTGGAGTGATAGGAAACGCCATAATGCTATTTCACAGGAACAAAGTGCATTATAATCTGACATGGTGCCACAAGAATGGGAATGTATATTATTGTTGTTTTAAACTGCTTATTTTATGTTTTACACTTATTATCAATGTATACGGATTGTTGTTTACATGATTTTAATATGTTGTAAACTGTGAGGGAGAAAAGCAGGATATAAATAAAGATTATTATCATTATTGTCATTATTATTAGAAACACAACAAGATTAGTACACAACAAACAAGAGCACTCTGCTGATTGTTGTATTGGATCACACGTTGGACACTTCCCAAGTGTCTAGGACTATGTGATGCATTGGTGAATAATACGTGCAGATCCCAGTAAGATGGCCTTTTGCAGCTGGCAAATTGTAATTTTGTCAGTAACATTTGTGTTTAAGTGTAGGCCAAGGTCTTTAGGCACTATACCCAGTATGCCGATCACCACTGAGACCACCTGTACTATCTTGAGCCAGACTCTTTGCAGTTTGATCTTATAATAATAATAATAATAATAATAATAATAATAATAATCACAACTGGGATTTATTATTATTATTATTATTATTAATATTAATATTATTAGGCTCCATCTCCTAACCAGCTTCTTCAATGGTCAAGAATTCTGGGAAATGAAGTCCAAAACACCCATAGAGCCACAGGTTGTGCAGGCCTGGTCTAGAGCAAGGATGGGAATTATGCAGATCACCAGTCTCGACCCAACCTACTGGAAAGAATGTCAGCAGAAAAAGGCAAATTTTAACTTACCATAAAAACTGTTTTCCTTGAACCTTTCTGTGTGTGCTACTGGCCATTTAATGGTATTTTGCCTACCTGCCTCCACATAACGCCAGACTATTTTAGGCCCTGAACAGTCAGGTGCTTCTGGTTTTAAAAAAAGGGGGCTATGGGCAGCTGAGGGAGGGCAAAAACTGGCAAAGAACAAGTGGCCCTCATCCACGTTTGCCTTTGTAAATAAGAATATTGAAATTAAGGAGGTTTGATACTACAAAATGCGGGGTGCAGCATAGTACAAACATTTCCGATGCAAAGCAAAGTAAACAAAAAACAAAACAGAACACTATTTAGATTATAAGAAAAGCAGCTCTGCTACACATACCTGCTGTTTGGGTGCCAGCCTGCTTTTGGATAGCACAGGGATCTTGCTGCTGCTGAAGGCATTTGCCGCAAGCACAACACTCTCTTTTGTTGCCTGATCTGCGGGAGGCAAGGCTTCTTGCTGGTTTTCCTTCCCAATGTGAGCCATTTAGAAGAACTCTCCTGATTCTTCTGTCAGTAGTAGTACCTGTATTATTGTTTAATTAAAGTTTTGAAAGAGAGAGTGGGAGAGAGAGAAACAAGTAGTGCAGCAAGACTTGTAAGACTAATATAATGTTTCCCCAAATTGTTGTGACTGTTTCCAGTCATAGTGCAGTCAGCTCAAGGTAGAGTAACTGTATAAATCTCCCCATCTCGTCTTACTCAGTAATGAAAGATATCTCAATATATACCAGATACATAAAACCTGGTTGTATAGTCAGCTTTTCACTGTTTCCTCTCAAGTTGCAAAATGATCACCAACATTCAACATCTTATCACTGAGTTGCTATGAGTTTTCCGCGCTGTATGGCCATGTTACAGAAGCACTCTCTCCTGACGTTTCACCCACATTTATAACAGGGATCCTCAGAGGTTGAGGGGTCTGTTGGAAACTAAGTAAGTGAGTTGTCGAAGGCTTTCATGATCGGAATCACTGGGTTGTTGTATGCTTTTTCGGGTTATATGGCCATGTTCTAGAAGCATTCTCTCCTGACGTTTCATCTGCATCTATGGTAAGCATCCTCAGAGGTTGTGAGGACCTCATAAAAAACCTACAACAACCTAAGTAATTGAGGTTTGTTTATCTGTGGAATGTCCAGGATGGGGGAAAGAACTCTCTGCTTGAGGTATGTGTAGTTTCCAACAGACCCCTCAACCTCTGAGGATGTCTGCAATAGATCTGGGCAAAACATCAGGAGGGAGTGCTTCTGGAAGATGGCCATACAGCCCAGAAAACTCACAGCAACCCAATGATTCCAGCCATGAAAGCCTACAACAACAACACTCAGCCTTCGGGCTGAGAAAGGCGGTATACAAATACAGTAAATAAATAAATAACATCCTATCAACTTATTCATGGAAGTGCCAGAACATGCACTAGTATTAGGATAAATACTCCACACCATTATTTGCCATCAGTAAAAGGCAGTTCAGAAAGAATAGGCCTGGTATTGGGATGGCTCCTAAGCTCTTTCCAAATCTCCTTCAGAGAAGCAGCCACGACACCGCTGCTGCCCAGAGAGATGCCACAAAAAGGAGGAAACTGGCACAGCCCAGCCTGGTTAGGCTAAGCCTAGCCTAATACAGAATATGCTTTTCATCCCAGTAGTGAGAGAAACAGGTTTATGAAACCATTCTCCTGCTTGATGGCCATCTGTCGGGGGTGCTTTGAATGCAATTTTCTGCTTCTTAGCAGGGAGTTGTACTGGATGGCCCATGAGGTCTCTTCCAACTAGGATTCTAAAGCATACTAGTGCCTCACCAAACTCCATGGCAGCTAAAGTGGGGTGAAACTGCATTAATTCCACAGTGTAGGCACACCCTTAGTCCAATGCTCATATTGCTACCAAGCTGCCTCACCAAACTTCCACTCCCAAGGCTCCATGGCAGTTAAAGTGGGATGAAACTGCATTTATGCCACAGTGTGGGCGCTCATACCATTACACCAAGCTGCCTCCCTTCCCTTGCTCATGCCATAGCCCTTCTCCCCACGACTCTTCTTGTGCACCTTTTCATAAATGCAGCCCCACATTTCTAATGCCAGGCGAGCACCACGCTCCAACCCAAAGATTGCAAAGAATTAATGCAGTTCGATACCGTTTTAACTGCCCTGGCTCACTGCTATAGAATCCTGGGGTTCACAGTTTGGTAAAGCACCAGCCCCACTTGGCAAAGAAGGCTAAAGCCTTGTCAAACCACCCTCCCATGCCTTGAGCCCTGGCAGTCAAGAGTGGTGCCAAACTGGATTAATTCTACAGTGTGGATGCACCCAAAATCCTAGCCTTCTGGAGGAGGCTCTGCCCGGTCGCCCACCTGGTCAGATCTCTCTTTCTCTCTCTCTCTCTCTCTCTCTCTCCACTCCCTTCTTCCACCGAGGCAGTTGCTTTGCATCCATCCACACCAGTTCATAAAGCAGCAGAGAGCTCTGATTGGCCGGTTCCTAGCGTCACGTGGTTTCAGAAGGGGCGGGGATAGAACGTTGGAAAGGAGGAAGTGCTGGAAAAACTGCTTGGAGGGGAAGTTCTTGTAGTGCTTTGCTTTGCTTGGCTGTGTATCATCTATTTCTCTTTCTTTTTTTAAATATTAAATTTCCACATTTTGTACAATTATATGTACATTATATCACACTACAGTAACAAACTGCAGTTACTGTAAAATTGTGCCTCATCCCATCCACCCTCTTTCCTCTCCCCAAGTCACAGACCTTTACAGACTACTTAATAATAAGAATGATAATTCTTTCTGGGCTGTTGTAGGTTTTTTCAGGCTATATGGCCCTGTTCAACAGATCTCACAACCTCTGAGGATGCCTGCCATAGATGCAGGCGAAATGCCTCTAGAACATGGCCATATAGTCTGAAAAAACCTACAACAGCCCAGTGATTCCAGCCATGAAAGCCTTCAAAGATAATTATTTCATTTCTAGAGGCCAACCCTGAAATGTTATATGTGTGTGTGTGTGTGTGTGTGTCTGAGCATGTGCCGATCATATTTATTATCTCAGCATCTACACTAGATTAATGTAGTTTTACACCACTTTAACTGCCATGACTCAATGCTATGGAATCATGGAAGCAGTAGTTTGATGAGGCTCAAAGCCAACCTTAAAAACTGTGGCATAGACACTGATAACGGGGAAGCCCTAGCCCTTGAGCACTCCAGCTGGAGGTCAGCTGTGACCAGCAGTGCTGTCGAATTTGAAGAGGCAGGAATTGAGAGTGAAAGGGGAAGGCACGCCAAGCTAACCCTGACCAGGACCATCTTCCATCTGGAAAACAATGAGAACATGTGGATCAAGAATAGGGCTCCACAGCCACCTACAGACCCACCGTCAACACACCACATCTGGAAGACCATCATCCTCGGGCTATGAGGGATCGCCTAAGTAAAGTAAGTAAGTAAAAGTTTGATGAGGCACCAGCACTCTTTGGCAGAGGAGGCTAAAAACCTTGTAGAACTACAATTCTGAGGATTCCACAGCATTGAGCCTTGGCAGTTAAAGTGGTGTCAAACTGCATTAATTCTACAGTGTAGATGCACCCTTATGAACTTGGCACACTACATTGTTACAGGGCTATCCTACCACTTGAACTGTTGTGGGTTGGTGTTACCCAATGTAACAGCTCATGTCACACTGTGTGTGTATAACCCCCATGGATTTTATCCCATGCTAGATCATAGCTCAACATTGTAGCTAAAATACCAGAAGTCAGCTACAAAAAACTAGTAACAACAATACACACTTGTAATATATGAGGACGAAATCTCATGATTCACTGCATCCATGTAAATTGCATCCATGTAAATTGGCAGTTGAAGTAGAAATACAGTGCTCTAACAATATGGTGTGTTAAGGCCCTAAGATTCTGAGCAATCGGGATCCAAATCCAGTTTGTGGAGCTGAGCAAGTCGCATTCTCAAGAGGAACGGCCTTTCCACACAGCCCTATATCCCAGAATATCATGGCAGAAAATCCCACAATATCTTCGTGTGGACTCCGATAACCCAGTTCAAAGCAGATATTGTGGGATTTTCTGCCTTGATATTCTGAGATATCGGGCTGTGTGGAAGGAACCAGAGTCCACATTCAAATAATGTCAGATTTCCTGCCCTGATGTTCTGGGATATAGGGCTGTGCGGAAGGGCCCAAAATAAATGGTAAATCTATGAATAAACCCTGCCAAGATAATCTCTTTATAAGTTTCCTTAAGGCTGCCATAATGCAAAAAATTACTTTAAGACAGACAACTACAAACATGCCTAGTAACATGAAGTCACCAGATCCCATCTGACCTTGGAAGATAAGCTGGGCCAGGCTGGTTGATATCTGGGCATGGGAGTGCGAATTTAATATTAAGTGTTGCAAGCTAGAGTTCTGAGCAAGACAATGTCAAACCCCCTTGTGAGTATTCCTTGTCTAAGAATATCCTATGAAGTCCACGGGGTCAGCATAAGATGATGGAAACAGACACTACCTTACCTCAGACATCTGGGAATAGCGAGCATGAGCTCAGAATTCTCTGTAATGAATACCTTCCATATGGCTATTGTAGTCTGTTGAAGTGGAGACGTGATCTTGCAGCTGCACTTCATAGTGCCAATTAAGACTTTCCACTCTGACCTGTGACAAACTGGGATCACAGTGGGATTCTTTGACAGAGAAGTCTAATGCTTTTGCAAAATGCCAGCTCCCATGATTTTCTAACATTGTGCCATGCCAGTTAAAGTTGTGTTGTACAGAGGCTTTGCTCAGCAACTATAAGATTTATCAGCCAAAAGATTGCAAGTTCAAAAGCCCCGGGTCAGCGTGAGCAGCTGACTGTCAGCCCTGTTCACTGTTAACCTAAGCAGTTCGAAACAGCTTTAGCTGTAATTAGAGAAATTAGGTACCACTAAAAGTGGGGGAGGTGTTTTATAACGCCATAAAGAAAAAAAATCAGAAAATGCTGGAATGAGGAAGTCCTGATGGCTCTTTGTCATAGAGGATGGAGCGACAGCACCCCCTGTGGACTCGAGCCCAACCATCCATGGCATCGAAACAACACCTCCTTCTGTTCTGTCTGTGTACTGTCTATACAAATGGCATTGAATGTTTGCCGTGTATGTGTACTTGTGATACACCCTGAGTCCCCTTCAGGGTGAGAAGAGTGGAATATAAATAAAGTATTATTATTATTATTATTATTATTATTATTATTATTATTATTACATTAATTCTACAATAAAGCCAGAATTTGAACAAACCACAACCCTTCTATTAGGTGTGAAATCCAGTTATTGAGTTAAGTGGGAATTTTACATGAAAGGCTACTTAGCATCAGAGAACACACATGTGCACACACAAAAGAGTAGAGAAGATCTCTTCAATATGATATTTATTGGCTGCTTGGAAGCAATACATGGCACACAACAGCCAAGTGGCATGAAGTAACAGTCACTCTTCAGGGGAGATCTAGAAGCACCAGAAACAATTCTACAGCAAGCACTCCCAAGTTTCCATACTGCATTTGTGTTGTCTTTGTAGGAGAGTGAGATAGATTGTTTTGTCACCTGGGCATTACTACATCACCTTTTCACAAGTGACACATTTGTGAGACAAGCCAGAGGGATACCCCAGAGTGCCAATACGTGAGGGCAGGGTTAGGGCACAGCACAGAAGAGTAATTAGTGCAGTATGGAAATCACATTATTGTGCCAAGACTGACTGGATCAGATTTGGGGCTTTGATACAAAGATCCTAGTATGGAGGAAGATAGCACCAGGTGTTCTCACGAGCTGTGATTAGGGGTATGGCTGCATGGCTATCAAAAACAGGGGAATCAGCACCAAAACCCATAAAAGGGGATCTGTGTTCCAAAGAAGAGGAAGAAGGAAAATGATAGAAGCAAGCTAAATCAGATGTCAAAAATCCAGCAGAAGAAATATGCTATGTGCCAATGCCATTATTTAAAGAATCATTCTCAGCACATTTCGAATTACAGTATAGTGCAACTCAATCCTATACAAGTGAAGCATATCAATGTGTGGGACTGCAAACCTGAAGGCTGGAAAGTAGTGTTGCTACTGCTGCTGTTTTTCGAGAGGGATGGTTATATAACTATGACACATTTGCAAATGTTGCTTTATTTCTGCAGCTGTCAGAAGGGGATCTGGAGAAAAAATAATTATCCAGATAGGTGTCCCAAACAAAAGAAAACAAGAGGAATCTCATACCACCCATAAAAGTTGTCTAGATCCCAGTCTTTGGTCTTCCAGTTGTTTGGGACTTCCAACTCCCAGAAGCCCCAGCCAGCATGGCCAACTCTCAAAAATTCTGGGAGCTGAAATTTTAAAAAGAAACATGAAAAACCAAAGGTTGGGAATCACTAGTCTAGATGATGGGATTCCTCAGTTATAGACAGTGCTTCCAGAAGTTATGGACTACAGCTCCCAGAATTCCTCAGTGGCTGGAGCATTCTGGGAATTGTAGTCTAAGTAATTACTCCAAATAAGTGGTAAGAATGCTGCACATTGCAACATGTTGGGAGACTGAGATCATTTTAAAAAGGTTTCCAAGTAAATATACTTTAAAATTCAGCTGTCAAGTTTTTATTTTCGTGACAGGAAGCTGTGACAGCAAAGAATAAAAGGCTACAAAGCATTTTGAAGACTTTGAGAAAAATGAAGTGAGACATCCAAATAATCTTGCTCACAATTTGGTTCTCGGTCACTTTCAGGCAAGTTTTCAAAAAGTTAGGATCAAGCCTTGTGAGTCTTCCCCCAAGAAGAAATGCATATTGAACGAAAAGGGAACCAAACCTACAAAAGCCTTATTAGTCAAATTCTACCACAGCAGCTATAACAACCAACATTTTCAACAGAGGACTAGCCAACTTTGTGGCAGTTATAAATGCTTCTATAAAGTGGGGCAACCAAGGGCATTCTTACAGTGTATCCTAAAACATCAGGGAAATTATAAAAAATAATGAGGTTGCATGTGCAAGCTTTCCAGAACGCTAGTTCCTCTCCACTTTTCTTCTCAGCTGGATGGGTCTATGCAACTAGCCTGTAACTCACCAAACCTCCTTCCTGATTTTTGTGTATTGCAACTTCCTGAACAGTTTGGCCAGAAGTGTCCCTTGGAAGCTACATTTCTCTGTGTACATTATCTTCAGACTAGCTGTACAGATACATAAATTACCTATTTTAAATAATTTGTTATTGGATGAATAGTTTCATTCATGTAGTATGGTAGCTCTACAGTAGAGATGGGAATTGCCAGATGTTCCTGATGGTGTTAGACTATAAGTCACAGCACCCATGCCATCATAGTTGATTGTGAGGAGTGATGGAATGTGTAGTTCAACATCTGGTAGACCCAGATTGCCCACTCCATCCTTACTTCAACAGAGGGGAAAGCAAGCCCACTTCTTGATCTACTTGGCCTACTATGCTTGGCTGCTTCCAATCTCATCTGTCAATTTCCTTAACAAGCTAAATGGGAGATGAATTGAGATGTACCCTGGTAAACTGTTCCAGCTCATTGGTCACCTGCTGAAAAATGTGGTCCTAAATAAAGCATTTCAATCTACGTCAATCCATTATACTTCACTCATTAATTTACAGTAATAACTTATGAAGAGAAGCATGAACTGCAGAAAAAGTAAATCTGGCCTGGAAATTTCTACCCCCTACCACATTGAAGATGGTCCTGACTACACTGGCAAGCCATTCAGAGAAATGGAAAAGATCAAGACCAGTGGTTCTCAACCTGTGGGTTCCCAAGAGTTTTGGCCTATAACTCCCAAAAATTCCAGGCAGTTTGCCAGCTGTCAGGATTTTTGGGAGTTGAAAGCAAAAACATCTAGGAACTCACAGGCCGAGAAGCACGGATCAAGACTGAGTTAAATTTGCTTATCTGCAGGATCACTATGGTAGACATGAGCAAACCCCCAACACACGCACCTCACTACAGTTCCTCAATTTCTCTAACCTTTCTATCAGCAAAGGCCCATTTTCAATTTAGTTACCCATTAGACATGAGCAACACAGTCTGTTGTCCACCCTTACTCATAACCAGAGCAGTAATATACAGCAACTTTTCATTAAAATGGAGAGTGTGTCCCCGGTTTTCGAGCTGCTCTCCCAAAACTGCTTTGATCAAGGCACATGCTTTCTGTCAATATTGTTTTACCAAAAGATCTTGCCTCTATTTTGTGACTGCTGTGCTACACAGGGCAATATCAATGGCAGTGGTAGCAGAGGGCAGCTTATGGTGGGTTCAGGACCGGGGATGGAGAGGTGGAGACATCCCCCAACCCAGAGGTTACACCCCTTTAATCATAAGACTCAGAGACTGGAAAGGCAAAACAGACTTTCAAAGACATGCATCTCTCTGGTACTTTCCTGGACAGGATGCAAATGAAGGAAAGAGAAGAACTTCCCTCCAAGAGGACTCTCAGGGTTTAAGGCGGAAAGAAAGGAATTATGCATGATCCATCAACATGGCAGAGTGTGAAGGGTATGGTTGTCTTGGCCATGGCTGAGATTGGATGAGGGAGCCTGACAGGAAGGGTGTGTGGAACATTAAAGGAGGAACAGGTGGAATAAAAACAAAATTGCAGCTAATAGTATAAACGAAGTACAGGACTAGCTTCCATTTAAGCCAATGCTTCTCAACTTGTGGGTCACCAGGAGTTCTGACCTACAACTCCCAGAAATCCCAGCTATTAGGCCAAAACATCTAGGGACCCATAGATCCACTGATTTAAGCAGAGTGGTAAATCAACTCACAGCAGTAGTCTGAACATTAAAAAGCTCTCTCCACGGTACTGAACATTTACCCAAAATATGTTCAGAACCTCAGACAGTTCTATTATATTTGAATTAAAACCCAAAGGCATCTACCACTTCACTCAAAGGAAGCCATCTTGGAGAAAGGCGCCTGTCACCACTGTTGAAGATAGGATTTTTGAAAGGTGATTAAAATCTGAACACAAACAACCATTAGAAACCTGAATATGAAACACTACACTTATAAGTTCACCTTTAGCATTTATGAGAAGCTATAGCTTATGTCAGAAAAAAACATTCATGCCACTGGATTATAGATCATAAACATATCATTCTCTTGGTCCATCAAAATAAATTCTAAAAAAAATCTATAGATAACAACCTTTTTGTGTAGATTTTAATTATAGGTGTACTTTGCACTTCTATTGATCAGCAGGAAGTAACCAACACCTATTTGTAACAAATCACAATTGCTGAATGTGGGCATTCCCATTTATTTATTGATTTCAAAAGTTTGAGCTCAACATGTGTGAAAGCAATGCCCACGTGTTGCTGTGTACTCTAGACCCCATTTGGTCATCTGCCTTTCTCACATCTTTGACACTGACCTAAATAAATACAAATAAAGGGGAATCCCAGTGATCTTGACTAAGAAGAGCCGAACTGACTTTGGTGCCTTTTCATGCCATGTAGAACTTGCCAAGAGGGTGTTTAGGAGTGTAGGGCTTCCTCAAGAAGATAAGGAAGTGGCCAGAGGAGAGGGGGACTACTTTGGAAGGCACTGAAATATTATCTCAGCAATACCCAAAGTTTATCTGAAAAGGGGAGACCTCCTCTAAAGAAGAAAAGCAAAGGAAGATTACTTGAAGGCTACTCTAAGTAAATCAAGCTACATTTATTTAGGATTAGGTCCTAAAAGCCCAGTTTATGAGGCTGGGGCAAGGGGGCTACCATACTAAGAGACATATATGATTTGCCTCCAAAGAAGAGCTATTTCTGAAGACAAAGTAATGCTGTCCAAGAACAGAGTTACTTAACAATTCAGTTGAATCCAACTGGATGTTTAGGTTGAAAAATTGACCTCATGCCCATTCAGTGCTATGATCAGTGACATATTAAATCAATCAATCTCTTAGCAACCTCTCTGTTTCCTTTTCAGTGATTTCTTGTTCAATGCAACCAATAATCTATTTTGTGTTTGGGTGCACTTGTGAAACTTTAGGAACTTGATTATATGTCATATCTGTACAGCACTTTCAAGTGTTTAGAGTGCTTTGCATGCATTTACCTTATTGTTATCCTTACAACAACCTTGTAAAAGAAGTCAATGGTATTCTCCTTTGTGTTGCCGAGCTGGGAAAGCAGGGAGTGAGTTAATGAGATACTGAGATGGAGAGAGGGAGAGAAGGATGACTGGCTAAAGCCATTGGGCGAGCTCACGGCATAGGCAAGAACCAAGGATTTACTGATACATAGCTCCCACCTTCATGCGGGATGTTTTCAAAAGGAGATCAGTTGAGAATCTCTAACAAATAACTGGTTGCAGTGGCCAACACACAGAATTAAATGGTGACCAAATATTTGGTCCTCATCTTTGGTGTTTCTAGGTTGGTGTTGCCTGGCTGGACTTCCCAGATATTAAGAGCCTTCTATTTTGCATAACCATCAATTCTATGGACTTCTTGATCAAGGTTTTTAATCCAAACATTGCTGGCATACCGATGCCTCAACTGGCCTGACCTGGATCAAGGAAAGAGACCTTTCTTCCCTCTGCAAGAGAATAAAGTTACAAGGTGGGTTGTAGCCTAACTGAGCAAAATAGGAAAGAGTGTGGCGGAAAGAGAGGAGGCACTGGGAGGGGAGAGCAGGATGAAGAAGAGTGGCATGCTCCTCTCCCCAGCCGGTGGGCGGTTATTGCTGGCATCACAACCAGGCTGCCCTCAGGAAGGCTAGAGGTGAACATTAAGGGGTAAAACTGGTTTAGGAAGCCTGGTAGACAGTGCAGGAAGGCTGTCAGAGGTAAGAAATATTGACATCTTCGTCGTCGTCGTCATACATAAGGCCAGTGCGGCTTTGTGAGGAAATGAGGGGATCTGCTGCCGGGACTTCTTTGCACATTGGTTAGCTTTAGTGCCCTTCCCCGTGGCATCTGGGAGGCACTGGGCATGACCAGAATCACTTCTCTATCTCAGCCCGCTTCTCTTTCCTGGATTCAGTCACCACCTGCAGGAGACAAAAGGGAACGCCACAGGGTCACACCAAAGTACAGTGACTGGGGAGGCGTGGTTTCAGTCCTGGACTAAGATGAAGTTGTATTCGATAAAGTTAAAGGTTTCCCCTGACATTAAGTCTGGTCGTGTCCAACTCTGGGAGGTGGTGCTCATCTCCATTTCTAAACCAAAGAATCGGCGTTGTCTGTAGACGCCTCCCAGGTCATGTGGCTGGCAGGACTGAGGAGAGCACCGTTACCTTCTTGCTGAAGCGGTACCTACTGATCTACTCACATTTGCATGCTTTCAAACTGCTACGTTGGCAGAAGCTAGGCCTAACAACAGGAGCTCACTCCGCTTTCCGGATTAAATCTGCCAACCTTTCAATCAGCAAGTTCAGCAGCTCAGCAGTTTAGCGTGCTGTACTACGAGGGGGCCTGTTGTACGACTGCCTTTCAGTGGTTCTCAACCTGTGGGTCCTCAGATGTTTTGGCCTTCAACTCCCAGGAATCCAAACAGCTGGCAAACTGGCTGGGATTTCTGGAAGTTGCAGGCCAAAGCACTGTGACTAACTTTGTCACTATTTTCTCCTGGATTATATTTAATGTATTTTCCTGCTGAATAAGCCAGTGAGGCTTTGAAAGCTTGCAAACTGTATTTCATGCATTGGAGTTGGCCCCAAAAAGGTTTTCAGAACTTGTGAATTTTATATTTGCTGCACAGCCAATATGGCTACCTTTAAACATATTTTCCCTGGATTTCAAGATACCAAATTTAGCTGCAACAGGAGAATTCTAGACAAGATGAAATCAAAGGATTGGGACAACTTTTTGAAGTTTTCCACCTCCAACAAAGCTAAAACTCTTTCATTGGACCACAATTTGTTGCGTTTACCTAAACAGCACATAAATGCCTAGAGCAGTGGCTCCCAACCTGTGTTCCATGGACCACTGGTGGTCCGCAAAAACAAAAATACGGTCTCACCATTACTACACCGTTGCCTCAAAACCAGGTGGCAACGAGAGTGACTGGTCTTGTGAAATTCTCTTATAGTGCTAAGGCAACTATGTCAGGAGGGGAGAGGCCAATTACCCAGAAAAGATTACTACTACCATATCAGCTCTAGATTATTAAATATGATTTTCTGTGAATGAGCAGATGGCGACTACTGGATGGCGTATGTTCTGTATTGGAAATTAGAGCTGATGTGGTCTATCCAATGCCATTTTTTGAATCAGCATCCCAAATAATCAAACTGAATCTAAAGTTGACCAAAAACTGATTCGTAACCCTTTTGCTACTAATGTTGGAGAGTGGTCCCTGGTCAAGTGGCTCCTAGTTGAAAAAAAAAGGCTGGGAACCATTGGCCTAGAGATATCACTGAGTCTGTTGAATAGAGGAACCTATGCTGAATTTCTGCCAATTTTATACTTCTTTGCTCCTCCCCATGACTGAGGTAAGGGGGAAAATATACAAAAAAACTACTGTGTGCGGAACTATATAATCAGAATAATTAAACCAGGTTCAGAACTCAGAATTCAATTCTTTTAGAAAAAGCCGGATATATCCTGCTCCGAACATAAAACTGGCAAGAATCAGAAGGCAATCTGGCTTCAATCTCATATAATACGATAGTTGGGAGTGAGGCTGATATATTACCTGGATTTTGGGAGTTGTAATCCAAATAACTTGTTTTTGAATACTTTGCTAACTCTCTGTCAGAGCCCCACCCCCACCCTGCCCCTCACACTTAAACTCTTCAACATGAGAGAAAGGGAAGAAACTCACCTCTCCATCACGAGTCTCAATGGTTTTGATCAGCACAGTCTTCCTAGTATGGGTCTCTACAGTTGGCTCTGGCTCTGAAACTAGAAAGGGGAAAGTATTTAGGAAGGAAGGCCATACCATCCTCAAGATAACACCCTCCTTCCATCTCCTTAATTAAAAAAAAGATCCCTCGAGGCTGAGATATGCAACCAGAAGAATCTGGAATTAAGATTTGAGATGGAGAGAGGTGGGCAGGCAGCAGAGGTGTCTTCCATATCTATTTCAAAGCAGCCCCAAAGCTAAACAAATCTATGCTAGGGAAGAAAGGAGAGAGGAGGGGAATCTACACAACACAGTCTAGCTGTTAATCAGTGCATTACAAGTGGAGTCAGGCATGAATTGTCTCTTGCCAGGGGCTATAATTTAAACAGGGCACAAGTAGAGCATCCTAAGAACATCATCACCCAAGTTTACACAAATACATAGAATCCTATATATAGCTTGGAAAAAGCACTTGTTGAAATTTCAGCTCCCACCATCTCCCTATATTTAGTAGTGTCATGCAAGCTAGGTATTCTGGGAACTGCAGTCCATAAAAGCAACTTTTCAAATTATAACACTGATGGCAAGCATACCTTTGTGCCAAGTCTTTCAGAAATGTACCTTCCCATACAACAGCTAACCCATCCTACATAACAAAACAATAGGCTTACCTGTTGTTTTGATGCTGAGAGATGCCATGGATTGGACAGGCAGTGAAATCCTGCAGAGAACACACAAGTGTGTGAACAGGGTAATGTGCTTTTGCAAGTTAGCTCTACTCTCTGCTCTCCCTTTCAGTTTTCCTGTTCATTCAAAACTGCACTGTATCCTGAAAAAGGAGTACATTACTCTTCCCAGCACAGAAGGATCTACATTGCCCTATATCCCAGGATCTGATCCCAGATTATCCGCTTATCCCAGATTATACCTGGAAGTGTACTGTACCTATTATTTATTAGCCACACTTGGACCCCACGCTTCTCACCCCAAAGGGGACTTAAGGCAGCCTCACAGTGGCAAAATTCAATGCTATATAAACATATAAATATTGGTAAATAAACAACTGCGTTAAAATCAACCCAATTAGAAATATTTAAACATTTTAAAATTCAGTTAAAATCACAAGTAGACTCATATAATCCAGTTCAAAGCAGATGATCTGGAATCAGATCCTGGGATATAGGGAAGGGTAGATCCAGCCCTAAACACCTCCCTTGGTGCCCACTAGACTCTATACCAAGTTTATTTGGGGGGAAATGTGGTGGGAGTAAAAGGTTTTGGATTCATTGCTGTAGTTTTGGGCTCAGACTTCACCCCTGTCTTGTACTTAGCCTAATGGATACATTGAGTGCCTCTTAACTATGCAGATTGAGTATCCCTTATCTGAAATGCTTGGGACCATAAGTATTTGGGATTTGGAATATTTGCACCTATATCATATGACATCTTGAAGATGCAACCCAAATCTAAATCAAAATTCATTTATGTTCATATACACGTTCAGATGTAGGCTGAAAGTAATTTTAGACACAATAATAGCTTTGTGCATGAAACAAAGTTTGTGTATACTGAACTATGTCTGCCACCCATGTATCAGATTTCAATCTGTATCAACTTGGCTCCTCTAAATGGCCAGATTTACCACTTCAGCTGTTTTATTATGGTGTCAATGACACAGAATTCCAGATATGCCCAGAAAGGTTGGAGAATTTGGCTAGAGGGGAGTTCCTACCTACTAGTTACCCACCTGCTCTCCTCCCCTTCTAGCAGCTTCCGGTAGGTGGCTATCTCAATGTCCAGAGCCATCTTGACATTCAGCAGGTCCTGGTATTCCCTCAGGTGACGGGCCATCTCTTCCTTCATGTGGTGAATCTCCTGCTCCAACCGTGCCACATTATCCTGGTATGAGGCCACTTCAGCCCCATATTGGTCCTCCAGATCCCTCATCTGCCTCAGCAAGGCTTCATTCTGGCAAGGCAAGAAGTACTGGGGTTTAATTTCTTTTTTAAAAAAAAAAAAACTTATCTTAAGCCCAGGCAATGTAGGTGAAACCCTGACAACCAAATGGGTGACCCCACAATCTCAGAGCAACAATCTCAGACCCCACAATCTCAGACTGGCTTCTGAGAGCTTTTTAAAAAACTTTGATAAGAGCAAACTTAGACCTGTGTGAGAAAGGTAAAGGATAAATCAAACAAGTAAATATATACAGGCAGTCCTCAAATTACAAAAAAGCTGGAATTTGTCCAGAGGAGGGCAACTAAAATAATCAAGGGTCTGGAGAACAAGCCCTATGAGGAGTGGCTTGAAGAGCTGGGTATGTTTAACCTGCAAAAGAGAAGGCTGAGAGGGGACATGATGAGGGCCATGTATAAATATGTGAGGGGAAGTCATAGGGAGGAGGGAGCAAGCTTGTTTTCTGCTGCCCTGGAGACTAGGATGCGGAGCAATGGCTTCAAACTACAGGAAAGGAGATTCCACCTGAACATGAGGAAGAACTTCCTGACTGTGAATGCTGTTCAGCAGTGGAACTCTCTGCCCTGCAGTGTGGTGGAGTTATGTGTTAATAGTGTTTGTTTTTATAACTTTTATGTGATATTGTTTTTATATTCATGTACCATTTATGTTATATACTACACTTGTAGTGCCTTGTAAACCACCCTGAGTCCCTTTGGGGAGATGGTGGTGGGATATAAATGATGATGATGATGATGGTGATGATTATGATCTCAATGAAGAAGGCAAGGGGCTTCTTCTAGCATGAGACAGGGGAGACTACTCACTGTTCCTTTGAGCCCATCCACCTCGCAAGTGAGACTCTGGATCTGGCGACGAGATTCATTCATCTCATGTTTGGCTTGGCGGAGTGCCTCATGGTTCCGGTTGGCTGCATCCGAAAGGTCGGCAAACTGAAAAAGATTAAGAGATTGGGGGGGGGGGGTGAGGATTGTGTCAAGACAAAGGGAGGCCCAAAAGCAAAAGAGGGAGTGGTTTTCTTGTTAGGCAGAAGCACTTGGCTCCAGCCAGCCAGGGAGGAGTGCTGAGTGAATCTGGAGATCATAACGGTTGTTCTGGTTATAAAGGCCAGTCTGAAACATTTGATGTCCCCTGTGGCTAAGAATGTGAGGGATATAAAAGCTCCCTGAGAGTGAGACAGTTTAGCCCAGTAATATCAACCCAATGCAATACAGTAGGGTCTTGCATATCCAATATAAACGGGCCGGCAGAACGTTGGATAAGTTAAAATGTTGGATAATAAGGAGTGATTAAGGAAAAGCCTATTAAATGTCAAATTATGTCATGATTTTACAAATGAAGCCCCAAAACATAATGTTTTACAACAAATCAACAGAAAAAGCACAGTAACTTTATGTAGTAATTACATCAGTACACAGTAACATTATGTAGTAATTACTGTATTTACAAATTTAACACAAAAACATCGCAATGTATTGAAACAGCTGTGGATTTGGGTGGGAGGCAGATTGCGTTGGATAATACAGAATGTTGGGTGAGCCAAGGTTGGATAAGCAAGACTCTACTTTTTACTCTGACTGGCATTTGTTTCCCAAGGTTATTCCTACCAAGGGGCACTTTCTCCTTCTGAATTGCAACTTACAGGGTTTGTACCTGTGACTTTCCCCACACACCCTCCTCCACAATGCCACCAGACACTTGTCTTGTTTATGATTCCCAACTATCAGGTATCTCATTCATCTGTCCCATAGTAGTCAAGGCAGAAGATATGGGGTTTTCACAGGTTTCTCCTTGCAGAAGTTCCATAGAGAATTTCATGACCAAGGAGACATCTGAACCTAGACTATTTCTTTCAGGATGTAACTCACCCATCCACACCCCACAATCCCCTCCAGTTTAGGTACCTTGGATTTGTACCATTCTTCAGCCTCCTGAAGATTCTTGACGGCGATGCTCTCGTATTGGGTGCGGATGTCTCGCAGGGCAGCTGTCAGGTCTGGCTTGGCCTGTTCCACCTCCACTTGCACTTGCTGCTGGCTATGAATGCTCACCTGCATGTCGTTCATCTCCTATATGAGTCCGGCCCATGGGGAACATGGCAGAGATATACAAGGATGCATCAGTTGTGAGAAATGATGGATGCATGGCTGAGCATACAGAAAAAGGGAGCACAAAGCACAAAATCCCACTTCAGCACACGTACAACACAGTGACATTACACATGGCAACGAAACTGTGAAAGCACCACAAAAATAGCATTTCACAGAAGTAAAGATAGCGCAAGAGAGCTGTTCGCCCACGAAGGAGCTATCAGGCTAGCAGACAAAAAACAAAATAAAAACAAACCACCCACATCGTGGCTGATTTTCTCAGTGAGATCAACTCTGTGAATCTACACACACAGGGCAGAATCCTGTTGGGAGCACATGTACGCTCTATGGAAACATACATCCTTTTATAATTATTGCAAAAGGAGCTATTTCAATGTCTTCTCACCCCACCCTGTAAACCTGCTGCAAATGGCAAGCTAGATTATTCAATGGGCAGAGGAGCAGCCATTTAGGGGTTAGAGCAGTGGTTCTCAACCTGTGGGTCCCCAGATGTTTTGGCCCTCAACTCCCAGAAATCCTACCAGCTGGTAAACTGGCTGAGATTTCTGAGAGTTGTAGGCCAAAACACCTGGGAACTCACAGGGTGAGAACCACTGGGCTAGAGGGAGTTGTGGGACATCACAACAGTATCTGGGAAGGGGGGGGGGGAAGCAACTCTCTCCTCTTGAATCTACTTGCAGATCTGGAAGAGAGTGGCTGCTGCTGTTACTCATGGCTGCAGCTAGATGGTTCCTGCTGTTTTGTACTTTTGCTAGAGTAAGTACGGAGGGATAAAATGAAGACATTGCACCCTAATATGAATTCTACCCCTCAATTATTTCTTCTATTTCTTGTGTTCCTTGGTCACATCGCCTACCTCTTTTCTTTGGATGCCTGAATTGTGTTTCTAAATCCTCCACTGAAGTGTCAAGTTGTTATGCTGTATGCCATCAAGTCAATTCTGACTTACGGTGACCCTAAGGTGAATCTGTCACAGGATTTTCTAGCAGAGCATGGCATCCATTAGTTTCTATAGCTGAGCAAGATTTAAACCCTGTTGTTACAGTGCCCTTGTGCCACACTCAAACCACTATGTTACTCTTACTGCAGTGCCAGAAATGTGTGGGCTAAAATACCATTCCAATGGAAGCAGAACTCTTATTTGGAGGAAGAAACACTTTCATTTTGCCTCAGCCGTGATCCAGCCACTAAGTGGTCAAAGCAATGCACACCTGACATTTCAGGCACAAATGTCCAGGATTTTGGACTGTGCAGTGTAGGATTATGGCCATAAAAGGCTGATAGAAATTATTCTGCCACACATCCATGGATCTCCATGGAAGCTGAAAGTACATAGTACCCACTAGCTGGCAAATACGCACCCTACTTAGGGCTTCTCTAGACATCCCACATCCTGAAAATACCTTGTCTGGGGACTAGCTTTCCCTAACCAAGTGATGCACAAATGGTGCAACCAAGGCAGTTCTCCTGATACCCTGAATACTATTTTTTTTAGAAATCAGGTAAGATAAAAAATGAATAAATGCAATAAGTCAAGGTACACTCAATTCTGATGGTAGGCCTACCTCCTCATGCACTTTCTTGAGGAATTCAATTTCATCCATGAGGGATTCAATCTTGCGTTCCAGTTCCAGGCGAGAAAGGGTGGCATCATCCACATCCTACAATGAAAAAAAACAGGCAGAGCCATGGGTAACTTATCCATCTTTTTCCATTTTCACATAAAGAAACAGTGAATGGTAAGTGGTACCCAGGTGGCCTGGGTGGTTTTGAGGAGATGGGACGCAAATCCTTGACTCAGCACAACTAGGGAAGACTTCAGAGCTACCAAAAATGCATTCAAGAACTTGGCCTGAGCCATGACATACAAGTGGCTCTTTGAAAAGAAATGCATAAGTGGATGCAATTGTCCATAAGTGGACTGTTTGTAAAGAGAAGTGTGGACTGGTGACAAGCAGACAAACAAGCCATTCCTTAAGTCAGTCTCATCAATGGGTTTACTCACTTTGCGGAACAGAACCAGATTATTCTCAGCATCTTCACGCTTGTGCAATTCCTCATCCAGCCTGCAGAGGACAGAGAGTGACAAAAAGCTGCAAACAGGACTTGCTTTCCTTCTCTACAAAGGACCAGACTGCAACCCCAACTTTGACCATGCTTCTCTCTACCCAACACACTGCACTCTTATGTCAGGAAGAGTTCCACCCACCCTCCTTTGGACACTTTATAAACTTGTTCTGTAACCCTTTTTTGCTGCCATCCACCATTGCACATATTATGAAAGTTACCTATATCAGCATTAGGAAATACGGGGGTCTAATGGATACACTTTTCTCTCCTGTCCACTATCTCATCCTGACCAAGGCCAACCATCATGGGATCCAAATTTCCAATCTTTCCTTGACTTTCTGCCTCCAAAAGAGAAGAGAAAGGGAGGAAAGGGCAGGGAGGGGGCTTGGGGAGAACCCCCTCCCTCCCGGTCTGACCACACCACCTCGGCCCACCATGCAGCCCACAAGTTAGAAATTTTGTCCATGACTAATCTATTGCCTTAGGGGTATCTAGGTTCCTATACTTGGCACTGTAGAGAATGTAAGAAACATGGCTACTCAATGCAGTTGAACTCCCACTCCCGTTATATTTCAACATTAGCTATAAGAGCTAGGACTGATGGGAGTTTCAATCCAATGCTACTGCAGAAGTAATACTTCACAATCCTGTGATAAGGAACATGGGGGAAAGTATGTCTGATTGGGGAGCTTTGACTACAGGAGGAGATGCAAGTCTGATCAAATTAAACTAATTACAAAAAACACTTAATGGGTATTCCTAGTATCTAATTCTTTTTGTATAGGGTTAATATCTATTATCCACCTTTGGATAAAATTGGGGGGGGGGAATCCAAAAGCGGTGCAACTCCCATAGGGTCACACCCTTCTCTTCTGATGCATCACCCCATTTGCTACGCACACAACTTAGAAGAGGATGAAAATATTAAAGAGGAGCACACTGGAGGGTTTTCACACCCCACATCAAGAGTGTCTATCTCTTTCCTTGCTTCCAATCTCTTATGCTTCCCTTCCCTCTTCTCCCACTCCTCCATCTGCCGCAGCATGCCAGGATGCGGAAACGCAAACCCCACCCCATGGAGCCTTGGGGGAATGCAGTCCTGGTTCCCTTTTCCTGTGGCTTGGTTCCTCCTATATATCTCCGTCTTTGGAGAAACAGCTGTAGTGTAATGTGCACAAAAGCTTGCCTGTGATGAAAAAGCCTCACAGAACTAGTTGGGGAACTGTTAGTGCTCCCTTCACTCTAAGACACTGCTGCAGGTACTCCACCCACATTGATATCTGATGTATGTGACTGATATTTGCTGGATGTGACTGCTTTGCCACTCACACCAATTGTCATTCCTCCATTGCCACCCTATCACCACCAGAGCAGAGCCCCCAGTGGCACAATGGGCCAGCAGGACTGCTGACCAAATCCCAGGAGAGCGGATTGAGTTCCCTCTGTCAGCTCCAGCTTCCCAAGTGGGGACATGAGAGAAACCTCCCACAAGAATGGTAAAACATCAAATATCTGGGTGTCCCCTGGGCAACGTCATTGCAGATGGCCAATTCTCTCACACCAGAAGCTAATTGCAGTTTCTCAAGTCACTCCTGACATAAAAAAAACCCTACAGAGCTCTGATGATGGCAGCTCCCTAACTAAAACCATGGATGGCACTACCACCCTGCTCTACAAAAAGGCTTCCCTCCTCCCTTCTGTGCCCCATCCATACATCCCATGGGTGCTACAAAGCCAAAGGAGAAGGTCCATACCATAAAGGTCCACCTCTCCTCCTGCCACACCCCACTACCCTCTGCTGGTTCCTCCCAAGCACCAGGCTCCACTGCCCCACCCTAGAAAAGAATAAGCTTTTTTTCTGGACACCTGGATGTTTTCCCTTGTCGTACTTTGACATCCACCCCTGCCCTGTGATGTCTTGATAGACACATCCCACCCTTTCCGCCTCCTTCTTTGAAATGATCTGGGATCAATTTTTTTTCCAGAATGCTCACCTTTCTCTGGGGATGCCACCTACAAATCCCCACCCACTTGCCTTGCATCCCTGTCCCAAAAATTTGTATACTTTCCATGTTTCACATCTCTCCCTGCCTGACGTTCTGATGGAAACAAAATGTAAGCATGAAAAGGTACAAAGCTGCAACCTTCCTAAACCATCCTCTCAAATCCCTGGTTCCAAGTTTTGAGTCCCAGATCTACAAATGCTTGATGAGAATAAAGCTCCGGTGTATTCAGCTGGGCTCATGCTCACAAAAGTGTCCCTAACCATGCAGTCACAATCTCTGTACAGTTACAGACCCTTCATCAGTACTGGTGTGCCATCCCACAGGCATTCCCTACAAACATCTGGGCATTCCCTATGCAACATCATTGCAGTCAGCCAACTCTCTCACACCAGAAGTTACTTGCAGTTTCTTAAGTCACTCCTGACATGAAAAAATCCAAATGGGTCTACTGCTGCCCAGGGTTACACCATTATAACCCACACATTGGTCATTAATGTCTAGAACTGAGATACAACTAGCAATTCCTTTATATAGGCTGGAGATTAATGTGGCTCCCAGCACAGGGCAGTCCCTTGGCTACTGGATTTTTCCATCAAGTTCAAACACTCAGGATGCAAAACTCTAACTATTCTAACAGATTCAACATTTGCTTTATGTGCCGTTAGAACACTTGCTCTACATACTGCATGAAAATGAGCAAGCATGACACATTTACTTGGCTCCTGGTTGTTTACTGATCTTGTACTGCATTGCAGAACTTGCACATCATTATTAATAGTGTCTAGTTGTTGTGGCTGTTTTGCATCCTCTTATTTCTCTGGAAATCAAGGAAACTAAGACTAGAGGATCCCAATTCACTCCTGTGTATTTCTTGAGCTGTCCAGCACCAGGGCTATCTCTGTCAATCTCTTTCCCTCCCTTCTGCTCAGGATGAGAGGAAGAAGGGGGTAACTGTGTTGTTGAGGGCTTTCATGGCCAGAATCACTGAGTTGCTGTGAGTTTTCTGGGCTATATGACCATGTTCCAGAAGCATTATCTCCCGATGTTTCTCCCACATCTATGACAGGCATCCTCAGAGGTTGTGAGGTCTGTTGCAAACTAGGACAAGGAAATTGTGGGTGAAACATCAGGAGAGAATGCTTCTGGAACATGGCCATACAGCCCAGAAAACTCACAGCAACCCAAGGGGCTAACTGACTCTCTTATGTAATCCAAGACATACACACACATATATATACACCTTTGTTTGATGTTAATCTCCATTTTTGCCTTGTTGTAACAACCCATAGCTTACAAAAGGACCGGGAATCTCAGGATCAGGCAAATTTTCCCCTTTCTTTGGACTCTATAGTCAGTGTTTGCATGAAAGGCAGCAAGAGCAGCAGAGTAGCTCCCTCTTCTAAAACTAAGAGGACTGGCTGAGATTACTGAATGGTAAAATGGCAGCAAGGAAGACACTCTGCATATATTCAGAGACATCTCTTCATCCTGGACTCAAAACTAAATATCATTACATTTTGCAAAAAGAAAGGAAAAGAATTTACAGGAGCCTTTGCAATTGGATCTTTATTTGTCAGAGGCTTTTTTTAAATGTAAATCTCTAGTAATAGTTATCATGCCAGGAGGAGTAACAAAACAATACCTCACTAGGAAGGAAGAATATAATTACATATGATTGTCTTCCATTCAAAGAAGGGGAATTCAAACCAATGAGAAAGAATGAGTGCAATTAGGAATTAACATTGTACTACTTTGTAATTATACAAGCAATGTTTGTATATATGTAAATAGGGGGGTGCTAGAAAAGAAATCAAGTAATGATGTGAGCTGGGAAAATATGAAAGATGTGAATGATATTCATGTGAAAATGTAATAAAGCATTAGAAACAAAAAGATAAAAAACTGAACTTTACTTGGGGAAGCAGATTGAAATGAAGCCCTAGGTTGTATTCTCTCCCTGTTAGGACTGCTGACCAAAAGGTTGGTGGTTGGAATCCGCAAGATGGGGTAAGCTTCCATCTGTCAGCTCCAGCTTCTAATGCAGGAACATGAGAGAAGCTTCCCACTGGATGGTAAAACATATAGGTGTCCTTGCAGATGACCAGTTCTCTCATACCAGAAGCGACTTGCAGTTTTTCAAGTCACTCCTGACATTAAAAAAAAATTCTGACAGAAAATTTGCCCCTACAAAAAAAAAAACCCCACTAAGGTCAAGGTCCATGGGCTGAATCTGACCTGCCATGTTATGTTATGTGGCCCTTCAGATTGTGGACTGCAATTCCTGTATTCCTCCTCATTAAACATCATGACTAAAGCTATGAGAGGGGTTGTAATACAGTAATATCTGAGAGACTGCAGTTTGTTCTGTTTAATCAGGAGACTGGGGGTTGGATTTAGATACAATATTTGGAGATATTCTTTTACAAGGTCCTTTAACCTTTCCCCAACCTCAGAGACCCAAGTGTTGTTGGGTTGCAATTCCCATTATCCTCAAGCTGGCTAACCAAAAAAGATGGAATTAGTTGTTCCAATAACATCTAGCGACCCAAATTGCGCTAAAACTAAAGAAACAAGTATCATGTAAAAAAAATTATAGTTGGCCGTCTATATCTACGGATTCTTCATCCATGGATACAAAATGCTGTTGAAGGCAGGATGATGTGCCCTTTGAGGAAAATGAGTTTGACACCCTTAGTTTACAGGCTGAAACTGGCGAGAGAAGGCCAAAAAATGTCTGAGGAAGCAGGTTGTTCTCCTTTTATTCCCCTCAGGAGGGAGGGAAAGCATGGAGGGGGCCTCTCCATCTCTCCTTTCTCTCTCCACCCTTCCCTGAATTAATGAATTCTGCAACGGAGGTGCACTTTCCACCCGCCTTCACTGAAAGTCGGCTAGAGAAGACCACAAATCCTTTGGGCTAGTGGGTTGTTCTGGCTTTTTCCCTATGGGAGGATGGGGGGAAGAGGGGGGCTCTCTCCTCCCCCACCCCATTCCATTAATAGATCGCAGTGGAGATGTGCCCCTATTCACTCCCACCAGCACTCACTGAAGGCGGGGGTTGGAGAAGGCAAAGGAGACATGAGGGAATAAGAAAATCCCTCTCTCCCTCCATTAGCTAATTCTTCAGAGTTCTTTTTCAAGCCATCTCTGCCCAACTATAACTCCCTGTGTTGTCGAAGGCTGTGTTGTTGATGGCTGGAATCGCTGGGTTGTGTGTGAATTTTCTGGGCTGTGTGGCCATGTTCCAGAAGCATTCTCTCCTGACATTTCACCCACATTTATGGCAGGCATCCTCAGAGGTTGTGAGGTTTGTTGGAAAGTAGGCAAATGAGCTGTGGAAGGTCCAGGGTGGGTGAAAGAACTCTGTTGGAGGCAAGTGTGAATGCTTCAATTAATCACCTTGATTAGCATTGAAAAGCCTTGCAGAAATGCCTCCCAACAAAGCCCCCCAGGCAGTAAGAGGCCAGACCTTGAAACTGCTAGACCATTAAGTGCTAATTAAGGTGGCCAATTGAAACATTCACACTTGCCTCAAACAGACAAAAGTTCTTTCTCCCACCCTGGACCTTCCACAGATATATAAACCTCCCTTGCCTAGTTTCCAGTATACCTCAACTACCTCTGAGGATGCTTGCCATAGATGTGGGAGAAACATCAGGAGAGAATTCTTATGGAACATGGCCATACAGCCCACAAAACTCAAAGCAACCCAGAAATAATATAGTTTGGTACCACTTTAATGACTCAGTACTTTGGAGTCATGAGAGTCTGCCAAAGAATGCTACGATCCCCACCAAACTACACATCCCACGATTCCATAGCATGGAGCCATGCAGTGAAAGATGACAAGACCCTAGCCAATGTAAACTTCCTCCCAATGCCAAGGCTTCTTTTTCCCACTCACAACCCCTTTCCTCACTTGCCTAGTGTCCAACAGACCCCTCAACCTCTGAGGATGCCTGCCATAGATGTGGGCAAAAGATCAGGAGAGAATACTTCTGAAACATGGCCATACAGCCCGGAAAGCTCACAGCAACCTATAACTGCCTGGATCCCACAGAACTGAGCCAGGGCAGTTCAAGTGACATCAAAGTCTCTCTTCCACACTGCCCCGAGATCTGATCCCAGAGTAGCTGGCAGTGCAGACTCATATAATCCTGTTCAAAGTAGATAATCTGGGATCAGATCTTGGAATCTAGTGCAGTGCAGATCCAGCCTCAGTGGCTCATTTTGGTTCTGATTTTGCCACCTGAATCATCTACAGAAGGGGCAATTGTGTGCAGTTAAGTCAGTGAGCATCTCCCTGTGTGCTGCTCCTGCAGAAGAAATGCACCCCTCTTGGCTCTGAATGAAAGTGGGCTGGGATCTAGGGCAGTGCAGATCCAGGCAAAGTGTGCTAATTCTGCAGTGGAGATGCACCTCTCTTTGCTCTAGTAAAGGTAAAGGTTTTCCCCTGACATCAAGTTCAGGCATGATTGACTCGGGGGGGGGGGGGGGCTCATCTCCATTTCTAAGCCAAAGAGCTGGCATTGTCCATAAACGCCTCCAAGGTCATGTGGCTGGCATGACTGCACGGACTGCCCTTACCGTCCCACAGAACTGGTACCTAGTGATCTACTCACATGTTTTCATACTGCTATGTTGGCAGAAGCTCCCCGGATTTGAACCACCAACCTTTTGGTCAGCAAGTTCAGCAGCTTAATACCTATTAATCTACTCACACTTGCATGCTTTTGAACTGCTAGGTTGGCAGAAGCTGGGGCTAACAGTGGGAGCTCACACCTCACTCATTGGATTCAAACCACCAACCTTTTGTTCAGCAAGTTCAGCAGCTCAGCGCTTTAACCCGCTGCGCCACTTCTAAGCCGAAGAGCCGGCATGGTCCATAGACACCTCCAAGGTCATGTGGCTGGCCTGACTGCATGGAGTGCCCTTACCTTCCTATAGAGGCGGCACCTAGTGATCTACTCACATGTTTTCGAACTGTTAGATTGGCAGAAGCTCCCTGGATTTGAACCACCAACCTTTTGGTCAGCAAGTTCAGCAACTCAGCGCTTTAACCCACTGCACCACTTCTAAGCTGAAGAGCCGGCATGGTCCATAGATGCCTCCAAGGTCATGTGGCTGGCATGACTGCATGGACTGCCCTTACCTTCCCGCCAGAAGGGTACCTATTGATCTACTCACACTTGCATGTTTTCAAACTAGTAGGTGGGCAGAAACTGGGGTGAACACTGGGAGTTCACCATATTTGAACCACCAACCTTTCAAGAAGTTCAGCAGCTCAGCGGTTTAACCCACTGCGCCACCAGGGATCTAGGGCACCCCTCTTGACTCTGAAGGAAAGTGGGCTGGAGAAGGCCAAAGAGATGGCGGGAATAAGAGCATGAGGGAGGAGAGGAGGAGGAGGTTTCCTCGCCTCAGCTATTTCTGTCCCCTCCTTGCCTGCCTTCCTGCCTCCTGCTGAGTGGTGGGGGGCTGCTGACCTCTGCTTGAGGGCGGCGAGGTCCTCGGCCAGGTTGTCCCTCTCGACCTGGAGGCGGTCTCGGTCCTGCCCGAGGGCCTCGACCTGGGCGCGGAGCTGTCGGAGCTGCTCGTGGAGGAGGCGGTGGGCGCGGGCGGGGGCCTCCTGGGCGCGGCTCTGGCCCAGCTCGGCCGCCAGCGCCGCGTTCTGCGTCTCCAGGAAGCGCACCTTCTCGATGAAGCTGGCGAAGCGGTCGTTCAGCTCCTGCAGCTCCTGCTTCTCGTTGCTCCGCGTGGCCAGGAACTCCTGGTTCACCGCCTCCGCCACCGAGAAGTCCAGCTTCTCCGCCGCCAACGCCGAAGAGGACGACGAGTAATAGCGCTGCGGAGAAGCCGAGGAGAGCGGCGTGCTGGAGCGCAAGTAGAGGTTGCTCGTGCCGCCGCCGCCGCCGGTGCGGTAAGAGCGCAGAGAGGCTCCCGGGGAAGAAGAGGAAGCGCTGAGGAAGCGCGAGGAAGAGGCCACGCGGGAGGAGGAGGAAGCGTAGGACCCCGGCGCGGGGCCGAAGGTGCGGCGGTAAGAGGTGGAGGCGCGCAGGTGGCTCATGGCGGAGGATGGAGAGGGATGCAGGCTCAGCAAGAGAGAGAGAGAGAGAGAGAAGAGGCTCGGTCCTGATGCAGAGGAGGAGGAGGAGAAGGCGCCGGCTTCAGGGATGCCGCTTTATAGTCCCCGGATGGAGAAAGGAGGGGGCTGGAGGGGCTGCCACTGGCTCCTCCTCTCCTGGCTGCGGCCCAGAGCCCCGCATTGCAGCCGGACAGAGGCAACACCCGCCCTGCAAAGAGGCCACCCTCTTCCCTTTCCCCCTCAGGGCGACTCCCATTTTGGCCCTTCTCCCCCAAAACTAAGCCCCCCCCCCCGTTGCGCCAGAGGAAAGGGCACTTTCCCCACCCATGTGCCTGGAAAGAGAGAAAGAATGCAGGTGGGCTGCCAGTGCCTCCATCCTCTCATAGAATCCTAGAAGAGTTGGAAGAGACCTTACGGGCCATCCAGTCCAACCCCATTCTGCCAAGAAGCAGGAAAATCGCATTCAAAGCACCCCCGACAGATGGCCATCCAGCCTCTGTTCAAAAGCTTCCCTAGAAGGAGCCTCCGCCAGTCATAGAATCCTAGAGTTGGAAGATACCTCCTGGGCCATCCAGTCCAACCCCCTGCCAAGAAGCAGGAAAATCACATTCAAAGCACTCCCGACAGATGTCCATCCAGCCTCTGTTCAAAAGCCTCCATAGAAGGAGCCTCCGCCAGTCATAGAATCCTAGAGTTGGAAGAGACCTCCTGGGCCATCCAGTCCAACCCCCTGCCAAGAAGCAGGAAAATCACATTCAAAGCACTCCCGACAGATGGCCATCCAGCCTCTGTTCAAAAGCCTCCATAGAAGGAGCCTCCGCCAGTCATAGAATCCTAGAGTTGGAAGAGACCTCCTAGCCATCCAGTCCAACCCCATTCTGCCAAGAAGCAGGAATATTGCATTCAAATCACCCCTGACAGATGGCCATCCAGCCTCTGTTTAAAAAGCCTCCAAAGAAGGAGCCTCCACCACACTCCAGGGCAGAGAGTTCCACTGCTGAACAGCTCTCACAGTCAGGAAGTTCTTCCTCATGTTCAGATGGAATCTCCTCTCTTGTAGTTTGAAGCCATTGTTCCGCGTCCTAGTCTCCTAGGAAGCAGAAAACAAGCTTCCTCCTCCCTGTGGCATCCTCTCACATATTTATACATGGCTATCATGTCTCCTCTCAGCCTTCTCTTCTTCAGGCTAAACATGCCCAGCTCTTTAAGTGACTCCTCATAGGGCTTGTTCTCCAGACCCTTGATCATTTTAGTCGCCCTCCTCTGGACACATTCCAGCTTGTCAATATCTCTCTTCAATTGTGGTGCCCAGAATTGGACACAATATTCCAGGTGTGGTCTAACCAAGGCAGAATAGAGCATGGGGAGCATGACTTCCCTGGATCTAGACACTAGACTCCTATTGATGCAGGCCAAAATCCCATTGGCTTTTTTTGCCGCCACATCACATTGTTGGCTCATGTTTAACTTGTTGTCCACAAGGACTCCAAGATCTTAGAGTCATAGAATCCTAGAGTTGGAAGGGACCTCATGGACCATCCAGTCCAACCCCCTGCCAAGAAGCAGGACAATTGTGTTCAAAGCACCCATCCAGCCTCTGTTTAAAAGCCTCCATAGAAGGAGCCTCCACCACTCCAACACATAAGGCTTCTTTCTCCTTCACTCATCTCAAATGTGGGGTGACCTAGCTCTTCTGCAAGGTGAGATTACATTCTAGGCAAAAACAACACCTCATCCAATCAAATGACCCTTCTTTTACTCTATGGCAGCGTTTCTCAACCTGGGGGTCGGGACCCCTGGGGGAAGGGTCGCGAGGGGGGTTTCAGAGGCATCGGCAATGACCATCAGAAAATACTGATGGTCTTAGGAACTCCTTTGGCAGCAACTACAACTCCCAAATGACAAAAATCAATGCCCCCAACCCCACCAGTATTCAAATTTGGATGTATCATGGAATTTGGTCCAGATCCATAGTTGTTTGGGTTAGCAGTGCTCTCCAGAGGTAGGTGAACTATATCTCCCCTAAACCACTGTCAATTCCTCCCAAATCCCTCCAGTATTGTTTGTTGGTCATGAGGGTTCTGTGTGGGAAATTTGGCCCAATTCTATCCTTGGTGTAGTTCAGGATGCTCTTTGAACTGTAGGTGAACTATAAATCCTGGCAGTTACAATTCCGAAATATCAAGGTTTATTTTAGCCAAACCACCAGTATTCAAATTTGGCCATATTGAGTATCCATACCAAGTTTGGTTCAGATCCATAATTGTTTGAGTCCACAGTGCTCTCTGGATGTAGGTGAACTACAACTCCAAAACGCAAGGTCAATGCCCACCAAACCCTTCCAATATTTTCTATTAGTCATGGGGGTTCTTGTTCTTTGTGTCCCAAGCTTGGTTCAATTCCATCGTTAATAGAGTTCAGAATGCTCTTTCATTGTAGGTGAACTAAAAATCCCAGCAACTACAACTCCCAAATGACAAAATAAACTCCCCCCAACCCCACCAGTATTCAAATTTGGCCATATCGGGTACCAAATTTGTGCAGTGAATGAATATGCATCCTGCATATCAGATATTTACATTACAATGCATAACAGTAGGAAAATGACAGTTATGAAATAGTAACGAAAATAATGTTATGGCTGGGGGTCACCACAACATGAGGAACTGTCTCAACGGGTCATGGCATTAGGAAGGTTGAGAAGTGCTGTTCTATGGGACCCTGAAGAGTTTCCCTCCTTCATTTTTGGAGCACGAGACATTACCCACCATAACAAAGCAATGGGGCTTTGTTTGTCTGGTAGGAACCTCCATGGAGAAAACAGCCTGCCTGTTAAATATGGCTGCATTCTTCCCCAAAATAGGGGGTGTCCTAAGTAGGAAAGGGGAGACAAAGGCATATCAATGGGGAAAGAAAGGAGCTGGGGGTCTTCCTTCACTGGCTATTTTGCTTGAGCTGGCAGGGGGAATCCTTCTCAGGGCCCCTCCAAACAGCCATATAACCCAGAATATAAAAGCATAAAATCCCACAATATCTGCTTTGAACTGGGTTATCTGAGTCCACACTGCCATATATTCCAGTTCAAAGCAAATGATGTGGGATTTGATGCAGCTGTGTGGAAGGGGCCTCTGCAGAATCTCTTCCCAGTGAGCTTAGGGCTTCCATGAAACTGCTGCAGAGCTGGTCACCTTTGACAAATCCCCCTGTGTTAGATCTTCTTTTGCTCTTGCAGAGCCAGCAAGCAGAAGAGGGTGGACACAGAGGCAAGCACTCCCAATATGCAAGTCACTGTGATGCATCCAGTAGAATTCCCTCTTTAGATGTGCACAAAAGAAGGAGGGAGCCTCCCGCATTTGCTGACTCACAGACCAATTCCAAAAGCTGCCCTGACACTCCTTCCCACTTTGCTGCCAACACAGTGGATCTGGATATGGGCACATCACCCACTCCAGATACTTTTTCTCATTTTCTGAGATCTTCTTTTCCTATCTGGATCAGAGCATGCTTAGCCTGACACTGCTTATGTAACCATTAGTCTGGACGATGTCTGTTTGCAGGGTGGGAGGGGTGGAGTTTTGGACCTGAAAAGCTGCATAGAGAGAAATCTGACTTAAACTCTTGTCATCAGCTCTTTCTCCCCCAACATCACTCCCAATGCAAACAGACACATTCACCCACACTGTGAATGTTTCTTGCTTCTACCCCTTAAATTCTACCCCTTAAATTCTGGCAACCTCAGCTAGGTTCAAAAGTTGAAAAAAAAATTCCTTTTGGGGCCACCACTCCTAGAATCCCCCATTAGGTCCATGTTCTAGAACTTGTAGCTCAAGAAACTAAGGGCCCTTCCAGACAGCCCCTATATCCCAGGATCTCATCCCAGGTTTTCTGCATTAACCTGGTTTATATGAGTCCCCACTGCCAGATAATCTGAGATAAATGGTATCAGATCCTGGGATATAGGGCCTGTCTGGAAAGACCCTAAGGCCCCTTCTACACTGCCCTATATCCCAGGATCTGATGCCAGACTTTCTGCTTTAAACTGGATTATAAGAGTCTTCCCTGCAGGATAATATGGGATAAAAAATAATCTGGGATGAGATCCTGGGATATAGGGCCTGTCTGGAAGGGCCCAAAGGGCCCTTCCACACTGTCCTATATCCCAGGATCTGGTCCCAGGATTTTTGCTTTAAACTGGATTATATGAGTTCCCACTGCCAGATATTCTGGGGGCCCTTCCACACAGCCCTATATCCCTGAATATCAAGGCAGAACATTCCACAATATCTGCTTTGAACTGGGTTATCTGAGTCCACACTCAGATAATGTGGGATTTTCTGCCTTGATATTCTGGGATATAGGGCTGTGTGGAAGGGCCCTGGGATAAACAGAAAACCTGGGATCAGATCCTGGTATATAGGGCCGGCCTGGAAGGCCCCTAAGACCCCTTCTACACTACCCTATATCCCAGGATCTCATCCCAAACTGACTTATATGAGTCTCCACTGCTAGATAATCTGGGATAAAACAATAATCTGGGTCCAGATCCTGGGCTATAGGGCATTGTGGAAGACATTAAACTTGTCCTTGTTCTGGCGCTATAACCTCAACACTGCCCCTTTTCCCTTCAACATTTCCTCTGGGGTGGAGGAAGCACTATTGGTCACCTTGATCATAGGTCCCCAGAACGAAATCTTGTGGTATCTTAAAAGCCGTAAAACAGTGGAGCTAGATGGAAGAGCAATGCACACACTTACATGTATCTAAAATAAGCACAGTTCTGCAGACTTTCCCAGTCTGTTGGGAAAATATATACTGTAACTTATCAAATATCTTGAAGGCACCAGACTATTGGATGCTGGTTTATAGAGTCATTCATCTGCTTAGCTGGGTCTTAGAAAAGTTGCCTTCTGTGGTTATAGATCCAAAAATCTTCCAGCCAGCTATCGGTTCACATGTTAGTGTGGAAAATGCAGCCATTCATGGTTTTAACTCAGGCATGGGCAAACTTGGGCCCTCCCTCCAGGTGTTTTGGACTTCAATTCCCACAATTCCTAATAGCCTGAAGCCCTTTCCCTTTCCCCCTCAGCCGCTTAAGCCTGAGGCTATTAGGAATTGTGGGAGCTGAAAT